AATGTCTTACAATTGATTTGGAAGACCTACCATTATAGTCTGAAGAGTTAGTTTATTGTAGCCTCGTTGTCGCCCTTTTCCCTTTTGAAAGACAGTAGATCAAAGACAAGATGGTTCAATTTTGTTACGACCTAACATTTTGAGCACATTTTTTGAGTATCAGGAAAAGGTCAGTATTATGCAATACAGGTTCAGTTATATTATGTAGTTGTGGAAATCAAACACTGTGGTTATGCAATCACACATGTAAGATTTTTAGTTCAGTTTTTTGATGAGTATTAAAGTAGAATGTAGTCACATCTCCATGTGTTCGATATACATGTATTACATTGGCGATGAGGATTCGGAAAAATCACCTTAACGGCAACCTACAGGAACGTGGGAGAGTTCAATGAGTCAGTGTAATCATGGACTCAGTACCCAGAGAGACTTGAGCAATACTTTCTGGCAAACAAAATTGAAGATGACAAGGAACAGCGAGCAATCTTACTCAGTATATATGGGAGCAAAACATACGGCCTCATTTGAGATCTCTTGCAAACTAAAAAAACCAGCTACAGTGCATTACAAGTCATTTGCAAAACGTTGGAAAATCATTTTTCACCTAAGCCAAGTGTCATTGTACAGCGATTTAAGAGAAATTGTCATGGAGGGGAAAGTGTCGCGGAGTTCGTCATGGAGCCCCGAAGGTTGTTGGAGCATTGCCAGTCTAGAGGAACACTCAACGATATGCTACAGGATCGACTCATTTGCGGATCAACAATGATCACATATCCACGCATGCGTTCGATATAAATTATTACAGTCAGAATGATAATTGACCCCTTTCTCCCCACATTAAGTTAATGATTAATGAAACTGTTGTAGTTCAATTTTAACCTCTGGTTTATTTTTTCCCAAACCAGCTCAATTTTTTTGAACCAGTTTAATTTTTGTTAACCAGTTTTTAATCAACTGTCTGAAAAAGGCCCTTTTCTTTTTGGGGTGTGGATGAAAAATTGGGGCTTGGCTTTTTAAGGGGGGTTCTGAAAAAGAATTAGATGCAAGATGAAAGAGAAGAGGGAAAAAGGATGGAACTTTTCCTGCAATTTATCATCTACACATCTCCTGTTAGTCTTTTATCCAGAGCCTACCACCCCACAGGATCTTTCATTTACCCCCTGCTTTATTTACCACTCCGCCTCTACACTACTTATTTATTCACTTTGATATTGTTCTTACCAGGTAGACCACGGTAGAATTCGTTGGAGAGCGTTGAATATTTGTAGGTATTATAAGTAATTAGCCCCAGACTCCCCTCCGCTCGGCCAAATTTGTTCTTGAACTATTCATACAGTAAAAAACGTGCGCATTTGGTCTAGAGTGGGACTTAGAGCTCGAAACATGGGCAAACCTCATGTACATGTACCATGTGCACCGAGAGAAATATTTTACGAACAGTTGTATGCCTTGAAAAACAAACAGACCAAAAACGAGTCACAGATAACGCTTTTTATCCAGGATTCGTTCTTCGATAAAGCAAAAGCCTATCTCAAATACCAGACCGAGATGTAGCTTGGAATTCAATCCGAAGAACCCATGCTGTCGAAGTGGGAAAAATCAACAGTCATAAGAAAGCAACGGGCTTATTCAGACAACTCAATAATAACACAAAACAAGAGAAAAGTGGTCCCTAAAAGAGACATTCACAATGTGCTGTCCCTCGCTCACAATCGCACTGCTCATCGTGGTCGACAAATTACTTCTAAATGGATCAGTAACAACTATTCCGAAGTCAATATGAAGGTGGTAGGCATATTTGTTGGCCTGTGCCCAATTCATGCGGAGCAGCAGTCAGTAACTAGGCGTGTTAAGCTTGTTGATAAACCTATTCAATCTGCGACATTTCTATCTCTCTTAGAGATAGAATTAATGGACTTCCGTAACTGTCCTTGTGATTGTACTGAGAAGCACACATGGGCCATGAACATAACTGATCATCATACTAAGTATGTTTACGTAACACCTCTGAAGGCCAAGTCTGCCGACGAAGTACTTACCGGATTCAAACGCTACTGCTACACCTATGGCTTTCCGAAAAAAACCCTAATCGACAATGGTAAAGAATTTGCAAACAAAAAGATGGAAGCATTTTGTGAAGAAAATAGCATTCAAGTGGCTCATGGTTCTCCATGAACACCAACCACTCAAGGTTTGGTTGAAAGATCAAATCGATCTTGGAAAGAGGATATGAGAGCATTAATAATGAGCACCTCTTCCACAAGTGTTCAAAAATGGTGTGAAAAAGCATCAGAAGCAGCTTATACCAGAAACATAAGCTACCATTGAGCAATAAAGATGACACCATATGAGGCTGTTTATGGTATTAAAAGCCATAGAGAATGTGAACATCATGAGGAACAATCCAGAAAACGACAAAAAATAACTGAAAATCAAGAAAAGTACAGCAACGAAATGGTAACCCAAAGCCAAAGAAAAAACCAACCGAGAAAATTTAAAGTTGGAGACATTGTCTCTATAAAAATTGACCGTGTTGACAAGACATCACCTCTCCATTCCAATCTTCTTCTGGCAAAAGTTGAAGAAATTGTAAACACCTATGCACGTGTTGTGACCAAATTTGGTAGAATAAACACATTAATTTCACCCACCCGATTATATCCTTGCACAGCTACTACTCAGAACATTGAACTTGATTAGACTACTGAGCTGACATTTTCTGCAGCGTGCAAGAAAGCTACGTAGTGTATTTAAATAATTTGTCAAGTAGTACTTATTACCGAGGTTCAAGAAGTAAAAAAGCCATTAGTGTATACCAATACTGGTGTTGCTTCTTTGACTGAGTGGAAAAGCATTGGGTACCAAACCTTACCTAACCCTAACCCTAAATGACTGCTTAACCCTAATCAGTAAAACAAGTGCTTAATCTTAATCACTTAATTCACTACTTAAGGATTACATAGAATAAACTCCCCTTCAGTAAAATAAAAAAGTGACGTATTTGAAAAAATCAAACTGGTATAAAAAAATAAAACCAGTTAAAAAATTTTGAACTGGTTCAAAAAATAATTAAACCAGAAAAACAATTGAACTACAACAAAACTAAGGACACTTCCGTGAATGAATGGTGGTTTGTTGAAGGCTGAAAAAAATTGCCTTCTGCAGTAACTTCAGCTTTCTTCATTGGCACGTCTTCATGGAGATATAAAGTACATGAACTTCAGCTATACATTTTAATTTCATATACTGATGCCAGTAAGATTGTGTTTTGAGAATAAGAAAACTGTCTTATTTAGTTATACAAAGAAATAAATTACAGCAATTGGTTTGAATTCTGATTTGAGTTTTTTTCCACCTTATTTTGATGGCTCACTGTTTGTTTACATTTCATCATGCAAATTAATATAACATTTGGGCATTTTAAAGATAATCTAGCCCAACTCCCCAACCCTGAAATGGCACGAAATGAAACGTTATTAACACACCTTTAAAATAAATCCTTTGCATTTGCAATGTATTCCTAAATGACGCCATTTTAAAGGATACTACATTTGTTCATATGCCAATTTGAGAGATGTTTCATGTCTTATGTTTTGACAGGCTTTAAAGACAAACATACATCGTCAGTTAGAATATGGAGTAATGGCCACTCTCTGTTTTGGATACATCACAACTGTCATCAAATACAAATTAATGACAAGAAAAACAATTGTGGAATACGGAGCTGTTACTCAAGAGTAGCTTCAAAAATTATAGTAGGTTAAGAAAAATCTCTGTATCTTCTACAAAAAGAAAAATAAAAGTATTGCTCATTTTTTGGGGGTTCATTTTTATTGTCTGCGAGTGAGCTTATGAAATGCTCAATTACATGGTACATAATCACTTGTACTTTTTGCTGTCTCAGACTGTTTCCATTTACCTTTATAATCTTTTTTACATGTTTTTTGATTAAAACTTTCCAAAAACTGTTAAAAAAACATGGATTTCATGTTTTTGTGGCATATATAAATGCGTGTCTCTGCAATCAGTTTAACATGAGACATCAGGCTAATAAATAAACCTTGCATAGTAAAACTTTTTCACTCTTTTTAAAGCAGCTGAACATTGCTACGAAGCATTTCCTACTTGATAAACAAACCATGAGTTTGGAAATCAAACCATAGAATGCACTGCTTTGCCCATGAAACTCAGACGTACTACAGAAACAGTGATTTTTGGTGTTGAGTCTTTAAAGTCTTTAAAAGGTCAAGAAAACCTACTGCTGAAAAATCTACTTCGGAAAACCCACGTAGAAAATATCCAATTTTTGTCAAGGAGAACATTTTTTATTCGAAAGTATGGTATTCAAAGCATCAACGAAATGAATTTTAAAAGGACTGTAACTTTACAAGAGTTTCCTATTTCCCGCCATCAGATTTGATGCCATGCTATAATTGTTCAGCAAATGCATGCATGCGTACCGAAATTGCCCTCCTGTTGACACAACATAGTTCTTGTTACAATGCACATAAGTTTACTGCACAAACTACATGCTATCCCATGCAGACTATATGCATCCACTGGCATCAACACACCATATGAGCTTAAACATTTCTGCCACAATGTTATTGTTTTCTTAATTAAAAAAAAAATAAATTATTTATTAATAACTTTTATTTGCAAGTTGATACCGGTGTTTATGCTCGTCATGAGTATGCAGTGCTTGAAGACAAGTAGTAGCTGCTTGTGCATTGCTTGTGCATATATAATTCCCCATGTCGTTTCAAGGGAAACAGAAACAGTGCTCAGCTCTTACTGCTGTGTTATCTGTTGTCTTTGAATATCGTTATCTAAGGCCAGCAACAATACTACACTTTTTCTTTACTTCACGTTCCTTAAAACGACCACAAATAATAGTACAAATAACATAAAAGATAAAGAATTAGCTAAAATACGCTTAACAGGCACCGAAGTTTGTCACATGGCCTGTCACTTCTAATTAGTTACTTTTGTTTACATGTTTTGTTCAGCTCGTTTATACTCACCCGCCCAATGAGCGTCGAGGCTTCACTTGTACAAGGCTGGTTAATCTCTCCGTTTATTCTGCTGCCTGAAATTTTGAAGAATTTAGAAGCATTGAGTAAGAAAAACAGCCTAGTTGACGACCTCATGCAGACACCTCAGACACCTCAGCTGTGTTCAGCGAAGAGCAAAGTTACCTTGTATCAGCCAGTCACTTCCATATGGAGGGTTTGCAGTAAACAAAACAGATGCAGACATTTCCAAATCTACTGCCTCTTGCAATTCCCTTGCAATTTTGGAATAAACTGGAAAAAAGGCTGTGCAGAAATACTTCTTCAACAGAAAAAAACTGCTCCAACCTTCGCACCTTCGCTCCGCATGCCAGCCGTCAAGCGACCAAGCCAATCAAAGTCCTCCATTTTGATCACGGGATCTCATACTCCAATCCGTCGAGAAGTCTCCAATCGACATCGTCGTCCTTTCCCAAAAACTGGCGGGAAATTTGAAGAGTGCGTTTCTTGTGCCCCCGGAGAGGGTGAAGATTTTGGTGAGGATACTATACCAGTAAAAGATCCTTTGTTTTGGAAAATGAAGGAAATGTCTAAAAATTGGCAAAATTGTTAAACCGTATTTACGAAGTAGACACATTGAAATGTCTTAAATCTGCAAAGCTTATCGTATTTTACCTGAAAACAAGAGAGGAAGAAGAGTGCAGATTAACAGTAACCTTTCCCAGAGTAGACATATTAAAACACAACATGCATACGAATATCCCTATCCCGTTCCTTTATATGGGTCATTATCCAAGGAACTGTAGAAAAAAAGAGGGTAAAACGGATTACTTAAAAAATTGTTCTAGGAGCGGTGGAGGAGGGGGTGCATTTCACAAACTATTTCCGTCAAGGGGGTACAGTTTTCGTGTGATCAGGAGACTTTAATATGGGCTCGAGCCTCCTGGTGTGATTTTGTTTCTTTCTTTTTTTTTCGAGTGGGTGGGGCAATTTTTGGTACATCACATTTTTCTGAAAACCTCTTGCCCCTCTGGGAAATAATAAATGATCGCTTCCTTTAATTGCAGCTTTAGCCAGGCTTTTTTTTTGTTGGGGGGGGGGGGGGGGGGGGGGTTTTGGGATTTTTTTTTGGGAAATTGCTCACGAAAAGGGGCAAAATTTTGGGAAAGGGATTATTTGGGTGATTATTTTACTGTTTTGGGCCACAACAACTTCCCCTTCGACAAAACACATTTTGCGATAAGCAGTAACACGCAATAATTGCTTTTGGTTTTTTGTTTTTTTTTTTTTTTTTTTTTTTTGTGTTTTTGTGTTGTGGGATTGTTTATTTTTGTATTTTTATTCTTTTTTGATTACTTGTTTTATGTTTGGAATGATTTATTTTTGGTTTTTTTTGGTTTGGTGTTGTTTTGGTGTGGTGGTGGGGGGGGGGGGGGGGGGGGGGGGGGGGGTATTTGAGATATGTTTCGGTGAATATTCTCAGACAAACGGTATAAGTTTTGGAATGGGATTAATTTGGTTAATATGTTGCTCTTTTGGGCAGAATAAACTTCCACTTCGGAACAAAACCCTTGACCGTAAACGTAGTACACCGAATACGCAGACACGTGAATTCGCAGTGAATACGCAGACCCGTCATAGGCGGCGGAAGCGGGGGGGGGGACTGGGGGGGCTTCAGTTCTTCACACTTTTTATTGTGATGGGGGCAGGGACCCCCCTCCCCAATTTGAAGAAAAATAAATAACTTTCTTTTATTTTACCACGGTCAACTCATTATCATTAGGACTATTTTGGAAAATTCAAGTAAACGTCCAGTCGTCTGGTTAAATCCAAACAACGTACGTAGCCGGTTGGATTAGGACATTTCATTTGTTTATCCTCCCCCACCGCCCTATGGAAGGCTATCCTATGTAGTTTTTGTTGTCAGCACCATTTAAGATAGCATCGGTCCAAAATGTTTTAAGTTCCCAGTACTCCACTATCCGAACGCCTGGAACGCTAAGATGTTGTCGGCATCTTACAAAAAAAGACAGAGGCCGCCTTTTATTGCTTATTGGTGGTAAGGGGGGGGGGGAATAGAATGTTCAATTTCATTTTCAGCCGCCCACCCCTCTACTTTATATTTCACTCCGCCGCGTCTGCACGTGAATAAGTAATCGCTGCGTATCCAGGAACAAACCTTATAAATAATCTTTATTAGGTCTAAAACAGTAGTGCATTAATATCTTTTATTATTCATTCAAGATATTTCCCCCATTCTGATTGGCTAAAAGCACACGCATAATTCACCATAAAAATTTTCCGATTAATGAACCGATAGACGTCAAAAGTGCAGCTTTCTTGCGGGTTAATGCACCGTTAACCGAGAAGACCTGGGTCGAGGTTGAGTTGTTTTGGTTGTGAAAACAAAAATGGCGGACATTTCACTCGTTTTAAGAGTAAGAACTAGGCGAAATAATAGCTAAAAACATGGCAAGAACAGCAAGAAGACAACTCGAAGGGCGACATCTGTTACTTTGGAGAATATTTGCGGAGCTGAACAACCCTAAACGTGCACTGTCGAATATGAACTTAACATCGATGGAGGTAAGCATGTTTTAGCTTTGTTTTTAAACTAGGAATTATTTTGAAGGAGCAATACAACAATTATTAAATTCGGCTTTCGTATCATATGAAGAATTATGGAGATCTCAGAGGGTGTTATCCGCCTCGGCCTACGGCCTCGACGGATAACACCCTCCTCGATCTCCATAATTCTTCATAAGATACTCAGCCTCACTCATTAATTGTTAATTAGCTGTAGTGACTGAGGATCCGTCAAGTATACATATATTTACTCTAACAAACACTTAAAAACGTCACACAAAGCCGGAGCCTGTAGGCTCCTGCGCAAAGCCACTGGAGATTGCCATACATTTTTTACTACTCCTTTCAAGTTTCTGGAAAGGTTGTACAATTTATCTGTAGTACATTTTAACGGTTTTCCCCTTTGCTTAATACACCTATTCCCCCTATTCAATTTTGGGATATAACCAAACGATTGCGCCGCTGCGGGCGGAAGCAGTTAAGTTTGGTTCAACATTGCGCTGGTTCTGGGGTGGGGAGGGGGAGAACAAAACGAAGTAAAAAATAGTAGCGTTCTCAACTCTTTTCCAATTGTTGTAGTTTTTTCCTCTTTTTCTCCTTGTCTTTGTCTCCTTGTCTCCTTGTCTTCTTCCTTGTTTTTCTACACGTATTCTTTGACGACACAAAACGCGGCTGCCAAAGCCAGCAATACCCCGGTCAGTACCCAACCTGAGATTATGGAGTGCAGTGGAGACTTAATTCAATGGCCTATAAGGGATTGAATGCGCACTTTTCAATTGACTATTTTCCAATTGCCCATAATACACTCTGTTTGCCCCCCAAATTTTGCATAACTTATTGTCTTAAAATGCTCTTGGGAAAAAGCAATACTCCCAGGAGCATTTAAAAACAATGGTTTATGCAGAATTTGGGGGGCAAACAGAGTGTATTATGGGCAATTGGAAAATAGAGAATGGCCCTGAAATCAACAGGTTCGGTTCTGCCGTTCTGAACCATAATTTACTCTGTTTTGTTTCGGAAAGCTGCATCGACGCCTTTTTAACAGACACCCACCTAATTATAAAACAAGTTACATTCATTTTTGGCTTGAAATAAAATCAAGATGTTTTGGCAAGATTGTCACCCGTTAAAAGTCCTCTCAAGATTTAAGTTTTCATATTTATGTCGACAATTAGGACAATGGTGTTTAATAAAAAAATGCAATATTTTTCCGATAGGTCCTTCCAACTTTCTTGTAAATATTGATAAAGAGCAGTATAGCAACGGAATGTCCATGGACACTGTCATTCTCGTCCCCAGAGCCTGTCGTTTCTTGGTCAGGTGGTTACAAATTAAGCCGAGTGGCTCTGGGGACGAGAATGGGACACTGCTAGAAAGAGGACCCGTAACGGTGGTTTGTCCAAAGATAGCAAAGATATTGCTCCACAAAGTCTCGTAATCAGTTGGTGCTCTCCACCGTACAGACGTCCGTAAAATTCCGAGAATTTGTGGAGCTGTATCTTCGTTAGATTTCAACAAATCACTTTCAAACTAGGCAACTTTATTGATTTTAAGGCAGTCCGTCCAGCCGTGTTGACGGATTTTCGCTAACTGGTAGCCTGTGTAGCCCTTCCGTTTTCGCTTTTATCCTCCTTCCCTCCCCTTTTTGCACCTGCCACGCAGACTAGCTAACTGGTCCCAGTCCAATCTCGTTCCCAGAGTCTACCTTCTGATAGACAAGGGTAACGCGGACTGTAGGAACGAGATTAGTTCTAGTCAGGTAGTTTTTCAACTTTTGGCGATAGTTAAAAATAAGAATAATAATAAAAAAAAAAAAGGGGGACGGGCCTGCTAAACGAGTAGAACCTTTTTTATGTCTTTTAGGGGTATAATGATAATTACTCAATTAAAATGAAAGGTGGCTCCGAACCTGCTACCCAAAGTTGAATCTTGGTACAGTAAACTCTCTCTAAACGGACACACCTCTTTACCGTTTAGAACTTTGCATCCTTTAACGGCTGCAAAATGCACTCTAATATATCTCAAAATGAAACGTTTTCTCTAATTTTTCACGGCCATAAAGTTCATCTGCCAGTCCTTTTGGGCCCTTTTACAAACTAAAATGACAGAATTCCCTACCCTCTCCAATACACAAGCTAGTAACCTTCGTAAATACCCTGCAAGAGCATCCGTTTTTTTTGTCGGCTCGTTTCACCCGCCGGGAAAAAACAGGTGAAACTGGAGCCGAAAAACCCGGATGGTCTCGCAGGCTACCTCTAATTCTATACTGATGCGGGAGCCCATGACCGGTAACAAGCAACTTCCATGTGCTTGTGTCACGGCGTTTTCACGGACCAGTTTGACATGTCATTCTTTCCTGCGACCAATTAGGAGAGACCTTCCGAAATACTCCTACGCTACTCAAAAATAAGAGTAAAAGTATATACTTCTTATCAAGCGACATGTTTTATTGATAAAACGTTTCAGATTTGTTCTTCCTCTGTGGACAAATAACTGAAGACCACCACAACAACTAGAGCGGCCCCCTTAATGCATTAAGACCATATACGTTTCGATCACATTTAACCTGATCTTTAGGTGCCCAATAAAATAAGCACATGTGATAAAAATTATTTTTCCCTACGTGTCAACATAAAGAAGACTGACACCCTACACTACTAACAGCTGTCAATATTACTTTTCTCGACGTGAGATAAATACTTGGTCAAGAAAATACCTTTTGTATCTTGCTTATTTGTTCAACAACTTAAACAATCTTGAGACTTACATCGATCTTGATCTATTTCCAAGTAAATCTTGGAATGTAAAATAGCTATTGAACATTATTGTATTTACCTAGAATAAGCATGTACATTGAGTACAGTCTGTACAGCAATTCAATTGCTTAAATACGACCCACTGTGTGTTAGCATTACCTTCCTTTCATTAATCGTATTGTTTTTGTACATGTAAAACGGTTCCCCCTTACTAGGTACATTAAGCATTTCAGATCAAAGTCTAATCAAAATTTACAACTCATATTTTGTTTTGTAATTAGTTTGCCCACTTAAGGAAGAAATATAAAAATATCTTATAATTCTAAATTCTAATTACGTTGCATGTGCCGAATGATCAAATACTTTTTACAACAAGTCAAAAAACACTCAATGGTTGTTAAATCAAAGGTTGTAGTTGATCTTGTAACAAAATAAATAAACGTATGTCAGTGCAGCGTTCCACATCCCATCGCAAATTGTGATATATTTGTAAATGTTTCTTTTAATTTTGAATAAGAAAACATCACGTAAAATATCCAGGTGAGACAGTGTCCAAGACCACTTTATGAAGAGTCAGTTTTCCTACTGTGATGCAATCTTCTTGCTCTCATTCTGCCGTGATATGTTGATAGAAATTTGTGTCCATGGCCATAGAATTTAGAGGAACTCCAGTCTCGACAGTGCTGAGCAGATAATCTTACTTCTTCATAGTTCTTGGGTGTTCTTGTATTGTATAGAGGGAGAACTTCACTTGCCTCTTCAGATAATGCCTAAAAGACATAATTGTCATGCAAATTGTTTAAAAGCTCCGTTATCGCACAATACTCAGAATCTGTCTTCTCACTGGTTAACAGCCTACAGTTTAGGTCCTGGTAAGTGTTACCAGCCTTATATCAGCTTCAGCCTCGGCGATAACACGAGTCTCAACTTCATCCAACAAATATTTATTAAATGTAGTAAGCCATGCATGACCCCACAGTACACTACATGGTGTAGATAAAATTATAAAAGCACGGCTTCACAAATAATTGTGTAATTATAGCAAAACAACAACAACAACAACGAATTCCAAGATGTCTCTGAAGCCGAAAGAAACACTTTCGTGAAAGATGCCAGTTTTTTTCAATTTGTGGACACTTCTACTCTTTCCCGACACATGGTAAACCAAGACCTGAAGGACGCAAAATTCCATTCCACGAGAGTGCTGAAAAGCTAATCAATTCAGAAAATCCCCCCTTCCTTGGAGCGATGCGAGTCTCGCGAGAACGCGCGAGTGAGCGGCGAAGCCGCGAGGGGCAGAGGAAAGGAGAGCTTGCAACGATCTCTCATAAATTTTCATTTGTACTTCGCTCAGACGAAGGTAGCCTGCGAGCAAGCTCTCCTATTTGGGTAAGCGAAGTGAGCCTCGCTAGAACGCGCGAGCGAGGGGCCCCTCGCGGCTTCGCCGCTCGCTCGCGCGTTCTCGCGAGACTCGCTTCACTCGCCCAAATAGGAGAGCTTGCTCGCAGGCCAGGCCTGGTACTGCAGTGCAGCAGTGTAGAAGACCGACTCCCCGTCGCAATAACCAACAAAACATTATATGTTTGTCCTTTCCGGCACTGGAGAGTAGCGTTTTCCTGAACTTGGTTCTCTTAAGTTATACTCCAGTTGCTACCAACTCTTTCTTTTGTCCTTCTTTACGGTCAAGCTACACAGCTACACTGTCAAGTACACGTTTCTGAATGTTTTCTACCCAGTGGAATTCAATCGGGCGAAGAAACCGACTTTGGAAGGCAGCGCTTGAGCCGGGCGCTTGAATCTCTCTTCACTCTCACTCTTCTCGTTTTCAGAACTAAACAAGGCGCTTGACACAAACGAATACAACTAATGAAGGGTTTTCATTTTCCTTCCACAAGAACTACAAGCTCGGTCCGACTTATCCTTGGCTCGCAATATTCTCTTTGCGAGGACTAAATCAAACGAGCCCCCTCGTCTGCTTTGAGGGCTGAAAAACGTTCTTGGCACCAATCTGATCCCCTTGAGAACCAAACTTGTCAAAAAGACGAAGAGGGCGCCAGCTTGGCCTGTTATCTATCAACTTTGTTTTCCGGAACGTCTTTTTCCAGCCAACGGTATTTCCCTTCGTCTTAGCCTGCTGCAGTACGGACGACTTTTCAAAAGTAAACGAAACGAGAATCAAAGTATTAAGTTCTCATCCGAGCGGACACGTTGAAGTTCGATGTCCCCGTGGCTTTGATGCTGTTGCAAAAGCGATTTATAAATAAATAATTCTACGTGCCCTCGGCTGTCTAAACTTGACAGGCGGTTGTCAACTTTCTAATCTGCGGCACGTTTGCGGTGACAGTTTTCACGCTTTGCAGAGTCCCGGGGTTTCCGGGGTGGAAATAAAAATTTTTGAGAGATCGTTGCAAGCTCTCCTTTCCTCGACCCCTCGCTCGCGTGTTCTGGCTCGCCCAAATAGGAGAGCTTGCTCGCAGGCTACAGGAAATTCGTACTGTGGCACAGGACTGCAAAGTTTGGAAGCGCATGGAGGTGGACTGTTGGCACCACTGGGAACCCCCATAGCGCCTCAGCCGAGCAGAGATTCAAATGCAGCAAATTGCCAATCCTCGGCTCCATAATCTTGTTCTGTCAGGGGTACTAAGCCATAAACTTTGTAAGTCTTAGTCTACAAGCAAAATCTAAACCTGAAGGTGGGGTCAGTGCCACAGTCAAGATCTTGTTCACATACCAAGAATTTTCCACCAACAACATTACTTTAAAACACATTGTATTTAAACCCAATGGGACCAGTTTCGTCCTTTCCTTTTGGATAATAAGATAGTAAATATCCTATTCAGGACTTCAAATAACTTCAATTCTTTTATTATTGAACTTAGACCTACTGAAATGCTGTTCTCATGTTTCAGTATTGATATGAAATCCTATGGCAGGATCATTCAAGTGAACAACCTCGTTCCCAGGGTTCTCTCCTACCCACCCCCATGGAGCGAGAGAGAACGCTCCATGGGGGCGGGTAGGAGAGAACCCTGGGAACGAGGTTGTCAAGTGAAGTTACAGGAAAAAAAAAGTTACCTTCAACCAGATCACAGCATCAGTTCCAAATCCTTCCATGGAATAAAGCTGAAGGTCTCCATCAAAGTATCTAGCATACAATCTCGATAATGGCAAACCATATCCATAACCAGCCTGGAGAATAAACGTACAATCCAAGTGTAAAACTGATTCGGATAATAATCGTTAATTTATTACTTCAGAACTACATATTTCTGTGTGTGATTTACAAGACTTTTGAGTACACTATTTAAAACAGTAAATTCATGATTTTTAAACAGGAGTGGAAGATGGAACATCAAACTGTATGCAGCTGTATTTTGTTGAGGGGATTTTATTTTGTGTTGACGGACAGAACTGGCAACTACTGAGGACTTCATTCACTTTTTGGAAGTTACTACGGTTCGAGCTCTGTTGCCTGGATCTCATTTTATAATGATTAATTTGTACAGAGGATGAACCAGTTATCGACTAGCAACCACTCTACGCAGTAAGATTACATACAGACACTGTCCTTTAATGGGGAAACTTTGGAGAACAAAGCAATCTACACCCCTCCCAACCACCCTCCATTCAAAGCAACGCTGTGCTCTAAGGAAAATTGGGGGAAGCCCAGTGCTCTTAAGGATGTCCAGCATGTGATTTATATGAAAGAAATGAGATTTTCTAGTTGGCTAAGAGCAACAGTTGAATGCCAGGGGCCACCAGGCACTGCCAGAGCTCAGCCCTGCAAAGTTTGGGCGCTTGTTGTTTCCTACAGGCTCAGGGGAAGGAATGCTTCATTCTCCATTTGAGGGTTCGTGGAGATTGTTGGATCCAAAATTCAAGACTTTTTCCAAACTTATTTCCAAAACAAGGGTTTCTTTTTCCAGACTCAAGGTTAACAAATAGGTGTGATCAATAGAGACCTTAAATAATCCAGCAACAAAGCTTTTTTCCTGGTGTGCTGTAAATATATAGGCAAGACTGAATAAGATTTAACCAAAACGAAAAAAAGGTTTCAGTTATAAAAGCACTTGTTGTTCAAGACTTTTTCAAACGAACTATACGAGCCCTGCCCTTTTGAAGTTAGTGAAACATCACAAATGACCTTCAGGGCAGTGTCTCAATTATTTTTTTTGCTGATCGTAGCCAAATTTTTCATGTATATGTATAAAAGGGAAAAAACTCTCACCATGGGGGCTGCAGCACCAGTTGTCAGTGGCTCAGGAGCTGATGTATAGTGATACTCAAACACTTGATCTATTTCACTTTTGGCTATTCCACCGCCCTGGTCAGAAATCTAAAGAAATGTAATTAGTTAGCAAAGTCATCAATATGGCTGGCAAAAATAAGCCTGTGATGACAGTATTGCCAGAACTCAGATAGTCTGAGTTTGATTTTTTCTGACTTTTTCAATCTTTACAGGCCTAATAATTGGCTATTAGTATAACTTGACAAAAAGAAAAACACATAATACTTTGGATCGTACTTGACACATGTTCCACTCACCTTGATTGTTAGATCCTGTTTCCCTTTGGTTATTAATATTTTCAAAGGAGGAATGTCTATACTGCTCCCATGCTGTTCAACAACTGCTCGCATGGCATTCTTAAAGACAGAGAATAATGTCGTTATTGTGGTTATACGAAGTAACTTGTATGTGGCATTTTTGATATAGAAAAGACAAAACACAGTCTGGTCAACAAATCTTTAGGGAAAGGAATGGAGGCTGCAATGACTGCAAGATTTTCCAGTAACTATTAAAAGGTTAATGTAATGCAGACTTGATGCTAAACTGATCAAAGAAATTTTTTCAGCAATAAACAGACAAGGTGGATAATCATAGCATAGACTTTGTTTGGTGACTTGCATCATGTCTTTCTCAGATACAAAAGTTCATTTCTTGACAAAAATTAGAAAAATGTAGCAACCCCTGTTAAACATTAGTGTGATCAACTCGAGTGAGAAAAAGTGCTGTCCATAGGTTCAACGTGCAGTCACATACCTTAAGTAATTCAAAGAGCATGTGATACAAATGGCCAGGAACATAGGCCACTTGAACAGGTTTCTTTGGATCATAAGCTGCACAAAGAAAGTATAATAAAATTAGTACACTGCAACTTTGTAATGTTTATTATGAGGATACATGAAAAAATAAAAAGAAAAGGTTTTGTGCATTGACTCGGTTAAAGATGATTTTAGAGAAGAAAACATTAATTTAATCCTTGCCTAACATGGACAAGGTGAATGGCGCACCAAGTTAACAACAGTGGTTTGTAATTACAATAACTGTGCTAAAAATACATGTGGGATAGGTCATGCAACTGAGCTCCGAAGTTTCTTTTAACTGTATATCATGAAATGGCTTTGTCATGGTTTAAAGGGAACAGTGTCCCGATTATGCGCACGCGTCATCTTAAAAAGACAACAGAACTGTCATATTGATGTTACAAGATTTCCTTCCGGTCCACACCACTGATGAAGATTTGTTGTTTACATTCTCAAGGATATGCTAGACTTTTGAAGAAGTCTTTCGTCGTATTTCAAATTTGGCTCGCGGCACAAAGACTTCTCGCGATTTTGTCTCTAGCTGGCTCGGCTACCTTGCGACCTAAAAAGCTCGTTCAGCTCACTTTACAGCTTTTCTGCTGTGAAACTTGTGTCAGAGGTCAATTTGTGGCAAGTCCAAGTTCAGTAAGCAGGCAGCAGAAAAGTTACTTTGCAAGTATGAGCCATGACAGGCAACGATGCACAAGCAGACAGGCTATTCCACAAGAGAAAACTGTAAAAAGACACATGAGCCCCTGCAATGTGATTAGGGTACCCCTGCATAGCCCCAATGAGAGACAGCTGGCTAACCAGGCCTCGTGTTCGTTTTAGCCACATTGGTTTTCTCAACATCTGACACTAAACAGGACCCAGTTGTTTAAAAGACAGACTTTAAGTTGTTCATAGGGTAAAATGCTACCTATCATGAAATGCAATGAGAGTTTCCTCTCATTTGTGGAAAGTGATTTATCTGGTGGATAGCGCTATTAGACTTTTGAACAATCTCAAAGGACCAGAAATCTAAAAACGTACCATTCACTTGAGAAATTTCTACCGATGGAGAGGCCATGTAGTTTTGCTCACAGAGGTAAGCAGCATTGTTGATAGCATCTGAGAACAAACGAAACAACAGTAAAAATGAGCTTATTGAATCTAATCTTGTGGATTTTCTAATGGCTGGACATTTTTTCCCAACAGCATGCGCTCTCATAAAGTTACTTCAAGGTCACATGAAATCCAACAATGAACCCATTTCCCACCAAAATCTCTGAGCAGGCAACAATGCAAAATCTATGATGTAAGAAAGTAACAGTGCACTGTTACTTGTGAATGTTGACGGACAACTGCCATTACAACGAGATTAAAAGAATTTCCAGCTATATACCAAATCACTCAAATCTCAATGTTTCCCTCAGAACCAGTCACAAAGTGTTTATTACATCATTATTATGCGTACTGTATTGCAATAATCACTGGGACATGAATTTGGATACCTTTGATCAAATTATCAACATCATATTGTTTACTCCAGATACAGTGGAACCCCAATAAAACAAACCTCCATGGAACAAAGTTCTCGGTATAATGAACAATTTTTTTACCCCAGTAATTTCTTGTAAAAATGTATAGAAAAGAACTTCAATAAAACGAAACATTGTTTTGGCAAACATATTTTGTCAAACCCTTGGTGCATCGTTATGTTGAGGTTCTATCTTATATTGCTGATTAAAAAAAAGATTAAATTGAGATATTTAGATTTAATGACCGCAAGATAACAGGGCAGTACGACAGCAAGAATTTTGAATATAGACTTAATTTCTGACTATTCAATTCAGAATATTCTTAATTATTATCCCTATAAATAAACAAAAGATCACATTAATGTACAGCACCTTCAACAACAGACACAACATGGCAGTTTGGGTCAAAACAACCAACAAAATTACTCTTAGAACTTCTAGCATCCTGTCCAAATAACAGCACTGGTAAACAGAAAGAAAACAAAAAACCCGTTATTTTAGAAACAAAACCCTTGTGGAAAATTATTTAGCATTTGCCAATTCCACATTATAGTACCGCTCAAAAGTAAGTTGCCACCCTCATGCAAAACTCCTCTCTCAAGTTGAAACTCTCGAGAGGGTTGAAGAAATGCAAGTATCAAGCATCTCAGTTTGGATCAGAGCCGACTGCTGGCTATTATTACACTGACAAAAGCTTACCAACAGCTCAACTTAATCTGTAAAACAAAGACATGGGGTATTTTTGAAGGTGCAGTTGAGTAAAAAAGGTAGCTTGAATAATAGTGAAGAACGTTTAGTTTTTCTTTTACAACATCACTGCTAAATATATGTGAAGTAAATTGCCACTCCAGGGCTGAGACATATCAGGGCCTCATGGCCCCTTCTGCTTTACTTTTGCCTTTAACTGACTGGGAAAACTGTAGCTTTTGCAGAAAACTACAGTGCTAGGTCCCCTGAATTTCACAGACTGTAAACGGCCTTCAGTCTGTTAATTGTCTTCAGGGTGATATCAAATGTTCCACACAAGTGCAAAGTAGTTAGTGGCAATACTGCTGAGACATGAGAAACAAGGAGATAACTGTTGAGTGAGACAAACTTCACTGTTTCCAAAAGAAAATTCTGCAGCTTGGTGTCAGAGTACTCACTCAGTGTCAGTTCCAGATTGTTGTTGGTCATAACAAATCACAAGTAGTTGAATTACTGTTGTGTCAACATGTTTTGGTTACTTTAACATCAACCAGATTTATGTGGCAGTGAAATGCATTTACTGATAGGTAATTTAAATTAACAATTTAGATCTGATAAAAATTACTCATAGATACTTACGGTGTTGAGTAATTAACATTCGAATACTAATACGATTCATGTAAAAGCGATCTGTTAAAAGAAAAAGCATTCATAACAAGTAAAACGTTAGAACACATGAAAACTGAGAAGAAAAACGAACAGGTACTGTGTAAATCCCCCATCTATAATAGAAGTGCACTTAGTTGTCTAGTTAGTTAAATGGCTCCACTTGAATACCTTAAAACAAAATTAATGACAAACATTTTTATCACTGGATAAAAGTGTCAGTTACATGTAAATAGACCTTTTTCAAAAAGTCCATAATACTCTTTGTTGTCTCTCCAAAATTTTGCATCAGCATTGTTTTCAAGTTCTCTTGAGGCAATAATTATTGTAAGTCAAAAGAGAAATTGAAAACAATTCTTATGCAACATTATGGAGGGACAACAAAGAGTATTATGATATTTTTGAAAGAGGCCTATTGCCAGTAGGCAACCAGTTTGCTACTAACAAGCATGACAAAAGATTTGAACTTCGAACAAATTCAGCTAATGGTCAGAATGAGAATAAAATCCTGGATTGCAAGTCTGATGCCCTGACTACTGGGCCTTGTTGTCTCCCTTTGTATACAAGGTGACTTAAAAGACTGAAAAAGTCATAATTAAAAATGTACTGACATGTCGTTAAAAATGCTTGAAAATATTTCATAACATTACCTACCTAAAAAGTATTCTATTGAAGGATGAAAAGCATCATCTCCTTCACGCTGACGCAGTTCCATTATTCCCTAAATAAGTATAACAAATTTAATTTAACTTAAGGCCAAATAAAAAAGCTGAAATTTACTATTGCCACAATACAATAATGATTACTCATTCACCTGAGCCATGGTTTCAACCACATTGTCATGACGCTGTTTGATGTACTTTAAACTTTGAGTAAATCTGAAGGAATAACAATCTCAAAGGACCAGAAATCTAAAAACGTACCATTCACTTGAGAAATTTCTACCGATGGAGAGGCCATGTAGTTTTGCTCACAGAGGTAAGCAGCATTGTTGATAGCATCTGAGAACAAACGAAACAATAGTAAAAATGAGTTAATTCAATCTAATCTTGTGGATTTTCTAATGGCTGGACATTTTTTCCCAACAGCGTGCGCTCTCATAAAGTTACTTCAAGGTCACATGAAATCCAACAATGAACCCATTTCGCACCAAAATCTCTGAGCAGGCATCAATGCAAAATCTATGATGTAAGAAAGTAACAGTGCACTGTTACTTGTACTTGAATGTTGACGGACAACTGCCATTACAATGAGATTAAAAGAATTTCCAGCTATATACCAAATCACTTAAATCTCAATGTTTCCCTCAAAACCAGTCATAAAGTATTTATTACATCATTATTATGCATACTGTATTGCAATAATCACTGGTACATGAATTTGGATACCTTTGATCAAATTATCAACATCATATTGTTTACTCCAGATACAGTGGAACCCCAATAAAACAAACCTCCATGAAACAAAGTTCTCAGTATAATGAACGATTTTTTTACCCCAGTAATTTCTTGTAAATATATAGAAAAGAACCTCAATATAACGAAACCTTGTTTTGGCAAACATATTTTGTCAAACCCTTGGTCCATCATAATGTGGAGGTTCTACTGTATATTGGTGATTAAAAAAAAATATTAAATTGAGATATTGTCGTAATGAATTGATTATTGTTCATTATATTTGTAATGATTTAATGACTGCAAGATTACAGGGCAGTACGACAGCAAGAATTTTGAACATTGACTTAATTTCTGACTATTCAATTCAGATTATTCTTAATTATTATCCCTATAAATAAACAAAATATCACATTAATGTACAGCACCTTCAACAACAGACACAACATGGCAGGTCGGGTCAAAACAACCCACAAAATTACTCTTAGAACTTCTAGCATCCTGTCCAAATAACAGCACTGGTAAACAGAAAGAAAACAAAAAACTGTTATTTTAGAAACAAAACCCTTGTGGAAAATTATTTAGCATTTGCCAATTCCACATTATAGTGCCGCTCAAAAGTAAGTTGCCACCCTCATGCAAGACAAGAGTCTTGTCTTGCGAGACAAAAATCTCGTCTCTCAAGTTGAAACTCTTGAGAGGGTTGAAGAACTGCAAGTATCAAGCATCTTTGGAATCATTGTAAACAATGAGAAATCAACCAAGTTGCACGACCATGTGAATGACAGCAAATACTGTATTTCAGCATGTATTTTCTAGCAAAGGACAAAAGATCCGAGAATTTTTTATGCTGTTCTGTCAATTTATTTATGGAACCGTCAATCTTTCTATTGGATTTGTTAGGATAAAATAAGACAAAAATGAATGCAGCAACAATGTTTTTACCCATCATTCTAGGGGTTTCCAAGTGAATGAAGTGACAGAACACAGTAGCAGATCCAGGGGAGGGGCCCAGGGGTGAGGAAATAGTTGCCATAATCTTCTATTGCATTTGGAAATAACAAAAACTTTCCACAGAACCAACTGTCAACAATTCTGGATAGCAAAATTCAGAAAAAGAACAAAATCGCTATTTATTTTCTGTAGACTTTCGTTCATGTGCTAGGGAACAAAAATAGACTAAGAGAGTTGGGAACAGACAACAACTTCAACTTAAAACACATTCAATTTTTGTTTGCTCAGATTTTTGCTGACTTTGGATATTTTGAACTACCTTAAATTGTCTGTTGAAAGAGAATCCTGAACTACTAAAAACTTTGCTGAGGGTTCAAGCTTAGTCGTGACAGTACTTTGACAAAAGTGTCATTTGATTGCTCAGTAGTGAAGATATTGAGCTCCTCTCGAAATTTCATCCAACATTACCGCTTCAGTGATTCTCACGAAATGAGACTCTCGCCCCTCCAGATGAGAAGCTCGTCTTGCACAAAACGAGACTGCAGGTAACTTACTTTCGAGTGGTATTGTAAGTTCAGTCTCTACATAGCATACCAAATAAATTGCAAAACCATAAATTAGGGATGAGGTTAAGAGCCGACTGCTGGCTATTATTACACTGACAAAAGCTTACCACCAGCTCAACTTACTCTGTAAAACAAAGACATGGGGTATTCTTGAAGGTACAGTTGAGTAAAAGAGGTAGCTTGAATAATAGTGAAGTACGTTTAGTGTTTCTTTTACCACATCACTGCTAAATATATGTGAAGTAAATTGCCACCCCAGGGCTGAGACATATCAGGGCCTCATGGCCCCTTCTGCTTTACTTTTGCCTTTAACTGACTGGGAAAATTGTGGCTTTTGCAGAAAACTACAGTGCTAGGTCCCCTGAATTTCACAGACTGTAAACGGCCTGCAGTCTGTTAATATTCTTCAGGGTGATATCAAATGTTCCACACAAGTGCAAAGTAGTAAGTGGCAATACTGCTGAGATATGAGAAACAAGGAGATAAGTGTCGAGTGAGACAAACTTCACTGTTTCCAAAAGAAAATTCTGCAGCTTGGTGTCAGAGTACTCTCTCAGTGTCAGTTCCAGATTGTTGTTGGTCATAACAAATCATAAGTAGTTGAATTACTGTTGTGTCAACATGTTTTGGTTACTTTAACATCAACCAGATTTATGTGGCAGTGAAATGCATTTACTGATAGGTAATTTAAATTAACAATTTAGATCTGATAAAAATTACTGATAGATACTTACGGTGTTGAGTAATTAACATTCGAATACTAATACGATTCATGTAAAAGCGATCTGTTAAAAGAAAAAGCATTCATAACAAGTAAAACGTTAGAACACATGAAAACTGAGAAGAAAAACAAACAGGTACTGTGTAAATCCCCCATCTATGATAGAAGTGCACTTAGTTGTCTAGCTAGTTAAATGGCTCCACTTGAATACCTTAAAACAAATGACAAACATTTTTATCACTGGAGAAAAGTGTCAGTTACATGTAAATAGACCTTTTACAAAAAGTCCATAAGACTCTTTGTTGTCTCTCCAAAATTTTGCATCAGCATTGTTTTCAACTTCTCTTGGGGCATTAATTATTGTAAGTCAAAAGAGAAATTGAAAACAATTCTTATGCAAAATTATGGAGGGACAACAAAGAGAATTATGATATTTTTGAAAGAGGCCTATTGCTTGTAGGCAACCAGTTTCCTACTAACAAGCATGACAAAAGATTTGAACTTGGAACAAATCCAGCTAATGGTCAGAATGAGAATAAAATTCTGGATTGCAAGTCTGATGCCCTGACTAATGGGCCTTGTTGTCTCCCTTTGTATACAAGGTGACTTCAGAGACTGAAAAAGTCATAATTAAAAATGTACTGACATGTCGTTAAAAATGCTTGAAAATATTTAATAACATTACCTACCTAAAAAGTATTCTATTGAAGGATGAAAAGCATCATCTCCTTCACGCTGACGCAGTTCCATTATTCCCTAAATAAGTATAACAAATTTAATTTAACTTAAAATCAAATAAAAAAGCTGAAATTTACTATTGCCACAATACAATAATGATTACTCATTCACCTGAGCCATGGTTTCAACCACATTGTCATGACGCTGTTTGATGTACTTTAAACTTTGAGTAAATCTGAAGGAATAAGAAAATGACAGGTACATGTGGGCTGCATGCCAAGTATTTGAAAGCTAAGGGGAAATTTAGGTGCACAAAAATGCAGTGTGTGCAAAATAGGAAGGAAGGTAATGCCTGTTGCAAAGCCATTGTACAAAAGTCCAACTGAATTATTTTTACAAGACCTTTAAGTACAAAATTTTTGCACAATAAGCAATCATAGCTTTGTATTGTTTGACAAACAACACTCAAAGACTACAATAATTTCCCAGTGAAAAAGCAAAGTTAAGAATTTAATGAAAAAAGAAACTCACTACTTTAATTGGCTGAACCAGTATGTTTACAAAAATTGTTGTTGCTGCAACAGTAGAAAACAAGAACTGCGCATTATGAATTCTTTACTAACGTCATTTTTTTTTTAGCTATTGATAAGAAATGATACTAATCATTTCCAATGTTCTCTGTGTGTTTTTACCCCAATAAAAGTACAGGAAAAATTATCCGAGAAAATGCTTTTGAACACAAGAAAGAGAAACCCGGGTTAAATTTAACCCCGGCTTAAGGGCTAATCAGCCTTCGAACAACTGGGCCCAGCATTACACCACAAGAACAAACAAAGTTAAAAAAATATCAGCTTCTATCAAAAGTGCCACGTTTGAGTCGCAGACCCAAATAAAATTTTGCCCGTTAAAATAATACTGTACATTTACGAAACAAATTTCTGATGACCAACTGTTGCTTGAAGCCTTAACACGGTCACATTGGATCATTAGGTAAAAAATCAACTGATGCAACTCACATGGTATTTATGTTACAAAACACAAGCCTCATCAGATTATTAGGATCAAATCAACTGAGACTGCAAACTTCAAAGGAAAAGTAATTACCTGTTTGTAACTTCATCTGTTTCTTCTTCATCTTGAAACTCTATAAGTTCACTAAAACTTTGGACATACCTGGAAGACAAGTTAATGACATGAACTTACAATGAGTTTTAAACAATTTGCCCTGGGAATTTTGCCAAAAGCTAGTTGAACCAACAGTCTTCTGGTCACTGTCTGGCTATAAAGAACCAAAATTGCCCCAAATCCAATTTATCATTTTATGGGTCAAACACTTAAATGCGGCCCTCTGATCCAGATGCAAAATATTAGCTTCCGAAGTTCAGGCATGCATACAAAGCAAAATTTCTATATAGTTTTTGGACTCGCCTTTCACCTTCCACTTCCTCTCCTTCACTCTTCTATCCGTTTTCTTACGTCCCCAATTCTTTCTTTTACCGGGTATTTACTAGGCTTCATTTCGTTACAAAACGATTCTGGGAAAGTTTTTAGGATAACAGGATTAAATGGAAGGTAGTGCAGGTGGGTAGTGGAACAGGATTTTCATTGGCATTTTTGGGTTTAACTTCCATGGTCTTTCATACTTTATTGTTGGTCTCCTGGACTGAAACATGCTCATCATGTGTAATTGCACCTGTGCATTCATAAAACCCCCAGTGCGATTGACTTGCTTCCCTGCTTCCTTACGTACTTGCACTAGTACAACGTTAAACAGTACATATAGCTTTAAGCAATGATAGTAAAAGTAATGTAGGAATAACACAACCAGGTTCTAAATAATAAAGTTACATTGTTTTCCTTTCATCTGTGTATGTTTAATTTTTCCTTGATGACATATATACGTGGCACTGTTAAGCTTTTTACTTTTTGTTTTGAAATAGATGCTCTTAACACTGTAAACTGTGCTCCTAAAATTTTCAGCTGTGCACCTAAAATTTCGGCAGTACACCTAAAAATTTACATCTGGTTGCACAAGTGCTCCCAAACTCAAATTTAAACTTTGAGCCCTGCACGGGGAAGTAAGTTTTTGGCAATATTGAAACGACAGAAGAACTAAAATCAATGCTCATGAAAAAAAAAATTTCAGGTAAGTTGTAAAATAACTTTCTTTGCACCCTGATAATATAAACTGGTATAAGCAACAAAGCAAACAAGCAAATGGTCTATACTGTTCTTCTATCTTTTAGGTTGCATAATTTATGCCAGTGGTGTATCGTGCCAGAAAATATCCATACCTCCCCCATCGATGCCAATAAAATTTCTGAGGGAACACCTAAATGAACAACGATGTTCATAGTTCCATTGAAGAAAAACATCTAATTATTAAATGATTATGACCTTTATTTATTAATAATTTGTTTGCTGCCACAACATAAGATGCGGTAAGTATATGTTAGAATAGTTTGAGTATTGTGAGTTTTGTATGACCCTCTGGAAAAATTAATTCAAATGGACACCCCTTCTACACATGAAAATGATGGAAACAAATCAAGGAAAAGCATTATTTTCAAGAAACACAACTTCTATTCCAATTACAAAAATTAAGGCTTGATGAAGAGCTAGAAATCACAATAATTATAAACCAGAATTGTCTCCAAATCAACTTCTTTGCCCAAAAAGATCACTGACCATACTTTGTGTAGTGAAATTTGCAAGCAGACTTTTGGTCACATGCCTTTTAACATAATACTTCACAAGGATCAGGTTCAGTATTTTTTCCAGCTTTTGTTGTTTTAAAAGGTTCCAATCAGTCTTTTTCTTTCCACATTTTAAAGTCTTATCCATTTACCTGTACTTTTAGTCCACTTTTTAAGGTCAGCAATGTTTTACACTCAGACTTTAGGTAAGGAATTGGATGTTGTAATTCTTTAAATGCATTCCCATCTACGTTTGTCTATATTTAGATGTACTTTCCCACAACGTTTGTGACGTTTGTATTAAAACTTATCTACAATGATCAATCGTTTGTATTATAAGTTTGGCAAGTTGGACAGACAGTTTACGAAACGTGTCATTTTTTGAAGCTTTCGAACAGATCATTGTGAAACAGCGAATGCCTATCCCCTCAAAGAAGATAATCACATGTATGAGTCGCTTTGCTTCTCATGGCACATTTACACTAGCCAGAAGATTGGCTCATAGATAAGCCACAATCTTGATTTTAATCCTAAAATTTTAGCAAAAAGGTGAAGATTATACATGAATTTTTACAGTGACCAAATTTATATTCTAGGCATTAACCAATTCACCCTTGAGCCACCCGTAACTGCCTGTCCAGATCCTCGTCCCTCCTGCCCCTCGTGACATCATCAGTGTTAATGGTCAAGGACAACTTTGTCCACTTATTTGTGCAGAGTGAAGAGACCTTTCCAACCACACCAGATTGAGCACAATTCAGTCAAGGACACCAGAGAAAAAGTCAAAAAACCTTGTAACATTGACCTGAAAGTTTCCATGAAAATCTTGCTCCATTCCCCCCTTCTTTCCTTTCATCTAATCAAATTAAAACTTTTCCCACAAAATGAAGCCTACTACATGCCCAGCAAAAGAAAAAAAAGGAGACAAGAAAAGTGAAAAAAGAGAGAAGGAGAGAAAACGAAAAGCAAAAGTCTTTCTGTGCATGCCTGAACTTAGCAAGCTAATATTTTGCATCTGAAACAGAAGGCTGCATTAAAGTGCTTGACTGGCTATAAATTACATCAGTAAGTAGCAATGTTTGTACTGAGGTCAAAATTAACCCCTTGAAAAGTGATTTTCATTGTCCAACCCCCTCCCCTCTGGAATTTCCTCTGACCTCCCATCCCCTCAGAGTTTCCAATTCCCTCCATGGTGGGGTATGGATATTTTCTTGAACCACAAATTAGGGTCGTTTGAGTTAAGGTGTTGACCGATTGTCATAAACGAAGTGAAATGTTTTAACTGTTAGGAAGTGTGAATCTGTTTACTTAGGTATGTAAGCTCATATTTATAAAACTTTCTTGAATAGGCTTAATTCCGATAAATTTGACACTTCCTCCAGTAATATTAGCTGTTTAATATCACTGAAAATGAGCATGTTGATTAAAATTGCTAGAAGGTCTTACCAGCCTCTGACCAACTCAACAGATGGCATTTTAAGCAGGTTCTTGGGAAGCAGATCAATCTCACGGATGATGTGAGCAAGCCGCACTGGTAATTCATGTCGTCCAAACTGAAAAGATTCCACTGGCTTTGCAGTCTTGCCTGCAAAGAAAGTTTAAAAAGAAAGACCTTACTTAAAAGTACCATGGAAATGACAAGAAAAAAGCACTGTAATGATTGTGATTGGCAAATGCTATATCTTGTTTGAATTCTAGCTAATTTGTTGTGTAGAATAGGATCAAAATAGAATGGACTCAAGAGGCTACATATACCACATTTCCTCGAATAATAGCCATCCCTTGATTAATCGCCTCCCTTGAATAATTGCCCCCCTTTGACAGAAATACTTAAAATAATTGCCTCCCTTGAACAATCACCCCTCTTGCCATCTTCTCTTCCTTTTATCCCCTCCTTGTCAAGTTGAAGTACAATGAGATTCAGCAAAACTGATCAGTGATGATTCAAGCTTTGAAAATTAATCAAGGAACTAAACTTGGAGTACTTAACAAGCCCCTGTTCAGTTTATTAGCCGTCATTATTTTTTGATTTAATGGGAAAATAAAGCAAAATATTTAGGGCACAACTTACAGTGAGCAATATTTGAAATAATATCCCTCATATATTCGCCTTTCCTCGAATAATCACCCCCAGCTATTATTCGAGGAAATACAGTATATGAGGTGCTTATAAATATCACTTTAAACATTATATTTGACTTAACTACATTCGTAAAATAACACTAAAGTTTACCCACAATAAGCAGTAAATAAACTTTCTTTTATCTGTATTGTACTTTGTGTGATATCAGGAGGTTCTAAAGTAAAAGTTTTGCCAGACTAAGAGAATGTTAAGTCACTTAACTGCCATTTCCATTTTATGACCAAGCATAACTACAACTACTTATATTGATCTCACATTTTCTGATCACCTACAACAGTTTCATTATTATACATGCATAATATTCATCTCTAATTAATTTTTCTTGATAGGAAAAACAAACCTATCAAGTATATAACGTTAACTGTCACCCTGAGAATGCTTAGTATAAAATCACACCTTTAGAGATTAAATATGGTATCTCAGTAACAACAAATAAAGTTTCCTTCACATCAATTTTAAAGGAGAATTTTACTCGGTATTTTCAAATTCTTCATAAATAGAAAATTGTTGTAACCATCAGCTGACTGTGGATCTAAGAGTGATTTTATTAAAATAGAAGGACCATATTATTTAAATTGCAGTATGTGAAGAAACAAAGTTTGGAGTCTGTCTTCAGATTAACTGTCTTGTTACATAAAGGCCCAAATGTTTTCAATTTCGGATTTGTTGTTTTTTTTTTTACTAGGACTCATGATTTTTCACAAAATTTAATAGTCCCAGGCCTCACCATAACTATTTGTAACAAAATTACTGCTAAATGAAAGTTCCTTCAATTCATCAGATAAACAAGATTTGCAGAGGGTTACAAAGACACAAGTTTTGCCAGAACCACTATGCAAGTTTGGCTTTAAATATTAATAATGTTTACATGCCAAGAAGACCAAAGCCAAAACAAAAAAAGAATTTAATTAGAATTCTTTACTGAACAATAGCTTTGGACTGTTTGTTTCTCGTGATGGCTGTACAAAAAAGAAATCGATGCCAATGACTAAAATGTTCTACATGAATACATGGTATGATTTTCAACATGATGAACACTTCCTGAATAGACTCACATAAAACTTGTGACAATCATATGATCTCCAAACTATTCCAAAACGGACGCGGTTTGAAATAACAAAATGTTGTCACGGAACACGGGGGCGTTGTGGGGGCGCTGCCTGCTACGTCAGAATAAAAACAGAAATTCTAGCCATCGTAAATAAACCAAACTTTCTCCTTGTTTTTGCAGTAAAAATCGAAACAACAAGCAAAATATTAAGATAGTGTACATTATATAATTTTTTTTTAGCTTGTGGGGCTCACAAGGATGGAATAAAATTCAGGCGCGGGAAATTCACAGTTTTCGCGTCAACGAATGATCACGCAGCGAAAATCGCTTTGGTAAAGCGCGCGGCCGGCGAGTAGAAACGCCTCACGTTACTCCGATGATCGGATTGACTAAAAACAACAGAAAAAAGATAAACAAAACTCAGGATTTTTCTTCGCAATAAACTATTTTACGAATATAACCTCTTTCTCCAGAGATACAATTTGCATATTCAAGCCTTCTTTTGCATTCACACACATGATCGAGTTAGCAACCGTATCGGCTAAAAAGACTCTAAAAATGCGTCTTTGCAAAGTAAGTTTCAAAGCAAGAACTATATTTTGTTGCTGGTTCTGATCCTTTACAAAGGATGACAATAAATAGTTCAAGTTACAAGGGATAAAATTACAGCTTTGATCAGTGATATCGAAATAGTACTCACCAAAAGAAGTGAATTGCTCAATCGACAAACAAGACTGTTGGTAGCGACTGTATCGTTGAATAAGCTTAGCGATGTCTTGCAATAAAATTCTTGTCAGCCGCATGATGAACTCAGGGTTACCTAGTCACTATAATAATTCGTTTTCTTCTTGATTTCATGAAGATACTCTTAGAGTCCGCCTAAAAACATTCTTGCTCTGTGTAAACTCCCATGGCTGAACCTTGTACCCGCCGAAAACAACGGACCACGTGTTCAAATTAAACCAATCACAGCCAGTGAATCCATGCATGAAGAGAAACACGTTTCACGGTTTATTCAGGATACTCATAGGGCAGGGGAGAGGTGAGTACTGTGACTGCAGTCCCAAGGCTTCTTCAGAAATCATGCTGGTTGTTGGAGGTATTAAAAAAATGTTTTTCGAATGCTCTCTTTTAATTCAAGTACAATTTCCACCTATTTTTCTTTCTATGTTTAAATTCCTGCTAGCGTCACTATTGCGTCATCCATAACAAAGCGCTCCACTCACTCCACAGAGCTCGCTCCACAAAAGGATCATCGGTTGATTTCGGAGGAACCTCGGAAATACTCGGCAAAAGCACCTCGTATTTCAAGTATGTGACGTAATGGTACCCCCATTTTGTTTTGCAAATCACAAATTGGAACGAAACAAAGTGTAATTGAAGGCCACTGTAAAGTATGGTTATTTAAAGGTTTAGAATGTCTGTGTTAGTGAATACTTTCTCGAAACATTCCAAAGATGTAACATCATGCAGTTTTTCACCAAACAGCAAAGTCTTAGCTTCAAGTTCCGGCGACAAAAGCGTGCGACTTTGGAACGTTGAAAAAGGAACAGAGCTGTCGATTTCACCTTTGCTCGGGCACTCGTATGGTGTAAATTCTTGCCGATTTTCACCGTTTGGAACTCTACTTGCGACCGCTTCAACAGATGGTAATGTTCATCTTTGGGATGTGAACACAGGGTCTGTGGTTGCGGTTTTGCAAGGACACAAAAGTGGTGTTAGAGTTTGTCGTTTCTCCCCAAATTCACGCTTTCTCGTGACCGGTTCAGCAGATGAATCTTTTTGCATTTGGGATGTCTCGTCGAAAACATTAGTCCGTTGTGTGGAGAAGCTAGAAAGTAGCGTTATGACTTGTTGTTTTACGCCAGATAGCTTGTATATAATAACAGGTACGAGCATGGGAGATTTGAGTATATGGGAAGCACAGACCGGTAAAATGACCAAGTTTTATGCCGAGGGACATGATCTAGGAGTTGCAGACTGCTGCTTTTCTTCAACTTATGGATCTGCAAGTAGGTGCCGTTCAGTTTGTTTTTATGTACTTGCTCTTCTTCTGAAACTGTGTTTAAGTCTTAGTTTATCGTACTACAGAGATGGATAAGGGTGTCTACTTATAGCTGGGCAGGTATTTATATTGATAACTTCAACCATATGAATTGTTATGAAGGATAATGTACATGTTCATCATGATGTGCACATGTTTCTGAAGATAATATCAAAACTTTTCTATTGACAGAGAGTTTGAACGTGATGGGCATTTTATATTGTGATTTTTAATTATTTTATATTCTGGGAAAATGATCCTTTTTAAACAAAAACTTAACTCTAGTTTTGTTTATCTGCAGTATTTTAAATTTTAATGTCAATGAAGTAAAATAATATCAATAATGGGCTTGTTAATTTCTCTTCTAAACAGGTGCACTCTGTTGTTTTTAAACTTAATTACTTAAGGGAAGAAAAAATATGGCATATAAATGAAGAAATTAGTTACCCAACCCAAACTTATTTTTAAAATGTATGATTTTAAAGATGTAAACCCCCTCCTAATAGTTTCTGATTCCATGATCATGTACTATTTTGTGATGCTGTAACATAAATATGGTAATATTATATGACTTGATCAATGAAATATGCATTTATTTTGTACTTTGCATTTAACAAAACAACCACTCTTTACCCCTTGTATTAATTATTTCTAAGTACAGTGGGTCTATTATAGGGGGTCGACCATTCCACAAACTGCCTTATTTAGGTGGTGTCCCAAAGTAGAGGTTTCACTGTAGTCTTCATCAGGCAATGAGGTCAGATGGTTACACATAACCTTGTAAAGCCCAATGCTCTGCTGTGATTGGTTACTTTTTAATAGCTGTAATTTAATGCATTTCAATTGTCCCTGTTCCAGTGAGATGGCCAATGTTTTCCAAAATGTGGCAGTCGACCCTTTGAAGCCTGGCCTTCTGTCATATTACCTCCCCAGAGGGGAGACAGCAGAAATTAATTATGCCTTCCATTTCCTGCCCTGCTCAATTGTTCTAGTCCAAAAAGGCAATGTTCTTCAGGTTTTTAAGAAGAAGCTTGAGTAAGCAGGTTTCAAGAAAAAAAGAAGCGACTCAGTTTTCTGGGCTTAGATACTCTGTTCACAAAACTGCCACCACACATGCAAAATCGGAAAACCGCATGATAAAGTTACAATTTTCCACAACAACACAATGATTTCTTAACCATAAACTGCCGCACGAATACAACTGTGACCGCTAAACGACACTCAAAATTGGCTAAAACCACCAAACCGTAAGTTTCAGACCTTCAGTACATCTACATGTATCATACATGGTGCTATTAAAAACAATGTTTATAATAGTTTTTCAAAGGCTATAGATATAGTTATCTGTAATAACACCAAAGACAATATTCTCTTGTGGGAGCCTGAGAAAGTTAATTGCAAATTTCATAGGAATTGTAACAACAAAGGTAAAATTTCCTGCATAAGATTTCATTTTGGTCCATTTTTTGAAATTCAACATTTATTTTCTTGGGCTCCAATAAGAAATTTCTTTGGTGTTATTTAAAACAACTAATAACATCTAGTTTTCACTGAAAAAAATTGATGTTTTGGATTGGTGGTCATTTACAAGAGGTGGTTACACATGGATATTTGAGTGCATAAAGATAAGTTACATCAATGTTCCACTGTACATTCTTGGCTATTGTTTAACAATGACAACAACAACAATGTTTATTTTGTGTGTGATGCAAAAAAACCACAAATCAATAGTTAATGATAGTTAAGTGCTTGCCAATAAAGAAAGCGCAGCCACTTTGATGCCATGCAGATGAGAAGAAGTTTTCATTAAATGATAAAAGATGCCTCAATCTTTTGAGTGTGTTTTATGGCCAGGAAAATATGTTAGAGCTCAAATTAATCTGCACATTTAACAATCAAGGTGAATAGTGGCTGAATATTTACCATGCTGCAAAGCAGCACGGTAAATATTCCTAAAGCCGCTATTCACTGAGATTGAAAAGAATAATTGTTTTAGTATATACACCCAAAGTGATCTCAACAAAATATGAGGAAACCATTACAAAGTACTTATTGATTGATGGATCAAATCACTCAAACTTTAAAACTAGATCTTTGCAGATTTTTCAAACATTTATCACTTCACAAAAGCATAATGGCTTAAATGGAACTGTTAAAAGTTTGAATTGTTTCCCTACCTGAGAAGAAAAGTAGAGCTTTGCTGTTTTCTGTTGACTCGCCAAGTTTAAAGCCAAAAGGGTTTGTTGTGTCATTCTTCGCATGAAGTGCTGACGAAAATGGCGGCTTGGTTGCTTGAGGTAAGACGTCGTCTTCCTGTAGCGTTCTGTTTCCTATTTACTTAAAACGTAGAACTTCTGCAAACATTTGCTGTCAATTTTTTTTTGTCATAAATAAACTTCGATTTTTGGGCCAAATTTTCTTGTTAGGAAACGCTGAGTTCAGGGGACGGCCTCTTGCACATGAATAAATGGGAGTTGTAAACAATCCATCAAGCACAAAACTCAGCTATAGTTAGTTGAAAAATGCCGTTTTGAATCCTTTTAAGTTTTTTCTTGCCTTTAAAAAGGTCAACCCAGGATTTTGTCAACTTTTAAAAGATCATTCTCTAAAAAAATGGGAAAAACACTGAGCTCACACATTATCCACTCGCTAGAAGGTGAATTTGGTGAATAGTCCAAGATAGCGAACCAATCAGATTGCTTAAATCACCAAGATCACCGAGTGTGTATATACTAATAAGAGATATTTTAGCAACATGTTCATTTTTAAACAAGTTGCATTACTAAAATTATGAACTATTTGGGGCCATTCACTTGTAAAGTAAACTGGATCATTAATTTAACCATGTTAATAACTAACAAAATAAAAAGGGTTTTTTAATTCTTCCCACAGCACTGAATTTGGAGTCCCCATTTATGACTCAAGCTGTATTTTCTTGTGATGGCCATCAACCAGACTGTAAGCTCTGAATTGCTACTCTAACAAAAATAGTGCATGACGCTTAACTTGTCCTGTTTGTTCAAATAAAGTCTTGATTGTCTTGTTCTTTTAAGATAAGTAATTGGTAATATTATGATAAGGAGACTCTTTAAACCAAGAGGCGTAGTGTAATATCAAGATAATATAACTAGTATCCTGGCCAAAAAATGCCCCGAAATAAGACATCATGAGGAATGGTGGAGACAGATTGTACATCTTTATTCCTTTTGCCTGTGAAAGCCTCTGGATGCATTCTCTTTTGCTGAACAGGAAATAAAATGAAATGACCTCACTTTTCAATAATTTAAAATAGTATATAAAGCTTCCTTTTTAAAAATAACAAGCATTTCTTTTGAGTGACCACTTCAATTTAACCCTTTAAGCACCAATATCCAAATACAAATTCTCCACACTAGTCTCCATACATTGCATTAAAGAATTAGTTGAGAGAATTTGATAAAAGATCAAAGCATTTTCCCTTTGGTGATAATTTTTTTTACCAGTCATAACCTTTTCTCTCTGTGATGTATCGATATTGTCACGAGAAATTGATGTTGGTCAATCTTGGNTCCTGGCCAAAAAATGCCCCGAAATAAGACATCATGAGGAATGGTGGAGACAGATTGTACATCTTTATTCCTTTTGCCTGTGAAAGCCTCTGGATGCATTCTCTTTTGCTGAACAGGAAATAAAATGAAATGACCTCACTTTTCAATAATTTAAAATAATATATAAAGCTTCCTTTTTAAAAATAACAAGCATTTCTTTTGAGTGACCACTTCAATTTAACCCTTTAAGCACCAATATCCAAATACAAATTCTCCACACTAGTCTCCATACATTGCATTAAAGAATTAGTTGAGAGAATTTGATAAAAGATCAAAGCATTTTCCCTTTGGTGATAATTTTTTTTACCAGTCATAACCTTTTCTCTCTGTGATGTATCGATATTGTCACGAGAAATTGATGTTGGTCAATCTTGGGACTTAGAGAGTTAACCCTTTAAACCCTAATATTGAAATTCAGATTCTCATTTGTTGCCCCTATACTTTACTTCAACAAATTCTCTCTACTACTTCTGTAGGAAACGTACGTACGTTTCCTATAGAAGTAGTAGAGAGAATTTGTTGAAGTAACAGTGATTCATCTTGTGTAATCATATCCTTTATTCTCATCACCAATTTGTTTTGTAAAATATTCATAGTACAAGGAGAATTTGATGCTGATCAGTCATAGAGGTTAAATGTACCACATGCTCATCTTTCTCTCTTTGCTATAACTGATCTGTCTCCCTGCTTATGTCCACCATGTACAGATAGGTAAAAACTGTTTTCTGGTTAAAGCAATATTCATCCCATTAGGATTGATAAGTTTTTGGTTAGGGCTTTAATGTTGGTAACCTAGTTTGAATACTAATACAATGTGCAAGTCTGGAGAAATGACCTCGTTACAACATTCACTGTTTTGACGTTATTCTAATTTTTCCAAATTGTTGCCCATCATACATACCTGCATGGCTAGTACATTTTAGTATGAATTTTATTGCATATTTTGAATGTAAAACAATGACAATATTCACATTGAAATGTACTAGCCATGGACGTATGAATGGTGGGCATTAATTTGCAGAAATTAGCATAATGTCAAAACGGTGAATGTTTGTAACGCAGATTTTTGGCCAATTGGTAGGTTAGGTTCGTCTTGAAATTTCAAGGTGTTACAGTGAGCAAATCTTAATTTTTTCAGGCATTGATATATATATATATATATATATATCATGAAGGTTATGTGATGGGGTTGATAAAGAATTCTGTTTAGCTGTTTTAGAGATAGAGATATTCAGAAAAGTGCTAAAAGTCAAAATTTAGAATAAAGTTGCATTTAGACAGGTGGTGAGAAAACAGGTTGGTTTTCAGGATTGCAAGAAAGAAATACACCAAAATTTCCTAGCATCGAAATATGATTTTAAGAAGCCTTTTGACGCTACTTAAGATTAATTTGCGTTATTTAGAACTTTTTTATTAAACATTTTATCTCAGCTATTGAAAATGAAAGGTTTGAAATATATTTGCATGTTAATTGAATTAAAATATACATAATTTTTTACTTCTCATGGAGGGTATTTGCTAAACACCACACTTTGAGTTCCTGGTGTTGAATTATTAGTAGCAGGTCTAGATCACGCAAAATTTGGATTTTATCAATCTCAAAGTTTTTTTGTTGATTGTTGTCATGGTGATATTGATTTTACTGAAAACTACATTTTGACAAACTTCAATTCACAGTCAATCAGTAGTGAAAAGTTTGTAGCAGTTGACAAGGACAAAATCACTTCTAAGATGATTGAAAAACATCGGTATGGTCTCCCAAAAACTGTATCAAAACACCTTAAGGTATAATGAGTACTTAGCAGATATTCTTCAAAAAGCAGAATTTATCATTGGTCAAGTGGGATTTTTGCTGTTCTTTCTATATTTTAAGGGAGTAGTTCAGTTTTTCTTCCTTGCAACACCTCTGAAATTCCTAGCATTTTCTCTAGCACTTTCTCCAAGACTGTTTTCTTTTTCATGGCACAGTCTAGACTCTGTAAATATTCTCGTTGAAGATAATAGGTGTCTTTTATTTTGTTGTTCTGCGTATTGACAAATAAAACTTTGGATGAAACCAGTATATCAGCACTGTCCTTTTGATTACTAGATTGTAAAACTTGGATTGCACATTGGCCTTTTAATTCTCCATTGAATAGGGTCACTTAAGCAGCACTCCAGTTAATTCTTTATTATTATTATTCTTTCAAGTTAAGATCATGTAGATCATATGAGGGGTCACTAAGACCATGTGGTAATTTGTTTCGTTGTATTTTACTTAACATTTTATATTTCATCTGTCGGGTCAGGAAGCCTTCTTTGTCAAGTCATTGACCTAAACCCATCTCTTATCTGGAAAAGTACTTAAGTAGGCTACATTTAAACTAGGAGCAGGAGCTGAAATAGATAAGACAACAAAAAATAATATTATTATTGAAGCATGCAAATCCTTAACATTCTGTGTACAATTTTACCCATACTGTGGCAGGTCCATCATACCATGACACAAGTGGCAGTGCACCAAATTTCTTACTTGCCTCTGGTGGAAATGACAACCTTGTCAAGCTTTGGGACATCTTTACTGCCTCAGGTATTTAGCTGGATCTTGTATTTTCTTGCATTACTGTGATGTCAATGAGTAGCAGCAGGTGATATCTTAAGTTATTCGACAAATTTGAAGATACTCTATTGTTGGTTGATAGTTCTACAGTCAAGGATTGTATAATGCAAGTTGCATGGCTTGAAGTCAACAGACAAGAAACTTTCAAGTATGTGCTCTAATGAGAGACCAGTGCTCTGAACCTATGAAATCCAAGGTGCCCAGCATAGGATTTCTATGAAAAAGACCAAGATTTTCTAGTCACCCATTAGCAAGAGTAAAGCTGGCACCTGGGGCTACCGGGCACTACTAGAGCACAGCCCTTACGGATCATTATATATATCTGGGAAACTGTCCACCTACCCCTCCCTTAAGCCAACATTTTGCCCTAAGTGAGAAGTAAGTGTAAAAGTTAGCTTAGAAAAGGGTAGCAGGGCAGTTTGCCAGAAATGTATAATGATCCTTGCTTTCTTTATTGACTGGTCAAATTTGTGGATTGCTGGTCATTTACAGTGTAATAATAAAGTAATTTTCAGTATGATAATAGTCTTGTTTCGTTCCTTAGTGATGTACAATGTTTCTGTCTGCTAGTTCCTAAAGGAGAAGCATCAGTCTTATTTCACACTCCCTACACGAAGCTCTTTTGTATTTACCAGTAGTTTGTTTGGTTATTTCAATGTTACTTAGTATTTTTATTCAAAGACAGACAGTGGAAAAGGATGGTGTCCAATAAAAAATGTTTTGACTTGATGACTTGACTTAGCCTTAGTAAAAGTTGTTTCAAGTCCTGAAGGTCTAAAATCCAAATCATTGGGGAAACCCATGTAAACATGTTTTGTTTTTTCTTCAAGTGTTTGTTTCATAATCTTGTAATTCAATTGCATCCTGTTCTTGTAAATATAGGAATTACAGTGGAACCCTGTTGATACTGTCACCAATGGGCCAAAAAATGTGGCCATATAAACAAGTTACTGTTATAACGAGGGTTTTTTTACAAGAAAATATGTGGCCATTTTGCCGGGCAGTCAAAAAAAAGTGGCCGTAAAAACGAGGTGACTGTATCACCGAGGTGGCCGTAAGGTGGGGTTTCACTGTATTATTACAGTATAAATCAGTGGGAAGAGATAATGCATTGAGAAAAGAACATAATATAATGCACTAGATTGGCAGTCTTACAGTGAGCTAAATGTGCATTTTGAACTCTGACTTTTCCAATTTGATTTCAGCATTTTCAGAAGAGTGCCATATCCGCAAGCGTTGTTCATTAAGCGCTCACCAAGGTCCTGTTTATGGGGTTGCCATGTCACCAAATGGAAAGATACTAGCTTCAGGGTGAGTAGGCGAGTGGCGGCAGATTACATGATTACACTTGACAGTAAGTATAGGCATGGCAATTAGTGGTTGCAGTTTTTTGATCTGTTAAACTACAAAATAGCCTGTTTTGCATTGGCCTTTACCATAAGAATTCCTGAAACAAAAGGGTAGGAGTGAAGCAGAAAAGAGAGAGTAAGATCAACACAGGAGATTCATGTACTTAATGTCAAAATTTCATGCTGGCACTTTGCAAAGTGCAAAAAGTGATTATGTTTTACTGTTGTCCACTTCTAAACCAGATGGCTGTTGGTTTAAACGCTTGTCTACATGTATGACATGATATCCAGTGTAAAGAAGCTTTGTTCCTACTGATTCTGTCATCCCAAGAACAGTGCTCAAATAACATCCTCTCCTGGACAAATATATTTTCTGCAAGTAACTTTTAAAGCTTACTTGCCCAATGGACAAGGGTTCAAGCAAATAATCCTCCACCAAAACCAGCAAGCAAAATGTGAAAGCTGCTTGCTCAAAGGACAAGCTGGTTTTTAAGTATTTTTTTTTTCAAGTTCTTAGAAATTCTTAAGTCTTGTGTTTTCATTGTCTTTGGAAAAATGATACTACAGTATATGAATAACAGCTGTTGATATAATCACATATTTTTATGGTTTAATTTGACAGGGGTGGAGACAAATTAATTATCCTTTGGGATCCTGTAAGTACAACTAAAACATGCTTTAATACTGTTGAACCTTTTATCATGCATACCACTATGTGCTGATGTCAGTTTATTCAAGACACTTCAGTTGGTCTTGAAGATACCTATATATTTTTGTTTTTTGACTTTACAGCGTGCAAAGAAAGTCGTGTCCGACAGCCCGGGGCTAGTGGATTTTGCTATCGGGCTAGTGTTTTTTGTTCTTAACTTGCCCGACGGGCAAGTGCTGTTTTTTGGGGAAATTCAAATTACAGAAGGATTGTTATCAATCCTGCCAATCAAAAAGGGCTTTGGGGCTAACGCTTTGCATCAGCCACATGTAATTACTTCGAGTTTTGATTGGTTCAATGTATTGTCTGTGTCCTATGTGATTGGCCAGAGTAATTACTTTGGTTTTGGTTTTACGACACTCAAACGAAAACCACTCTATTATCACAGTTATAAGTCAGTGGATAGAGATAATGCGTTAAGAAAAGAAAATAATATAATGCATTAGATTGGCAGTCTTACAGTGAGCCAAACGTGCATTTTGAACTCTGGCTTTTCCAATTTGATTTCAGCATTCTCAGAAGAGTGCCATATCCGCAAACGCTGTTCATTAAGTGGTCACCAAGGTCCTGTTTATGGGGTTGCCATGTCGCCAAATGGAAAGATACTAGCTTCAGGGTGAGTAGGCAAATGGTAGCAGATTACATGATTACACTTGACAGTGAGTATAAGCGTGGCAATGAGTGGTTGCAGTTTTTGGATCCATTAAACTGCAAAGTAGCCTGTTTTGCGTTGGCCTTTACCGTAAGCATTCCTGAAACAAAAGGGCAGGACTAAAGCTGAAAAGAGAGAGTAAGATGAGCACAGGAGATTCATGTACTTAATGTCAAAATTTCATGCTGGCATTTTGCATGGTGCAAAAAGTGATTATGTTTTACTGTTGTCCACTTCTAAACCAGATGGCTGTTGGTTTAAACATTGGTGTACATGTATGTCATGATATCCAGTGTAAAGCAGCTTTGTTCCTACTGATTCTATCAGAGTGAAAAAGAGAGAAGGGAAATTGCCGTAGCATCCCAGGAACAGTGCTCAAATAACATCCCGTCCTGGACAAATATATTTTCTTGCTCTGCAAGTAACTTTTAAAGCTTTCTTGCCCAATGGTCAAAGGTTCAAGCAAATAATCCTCCACTAAAATCAGCAAGCAAAATGTGAGAGCTGCTCGCTCAAAGGACAAGCTGTTTTTTAATTTTTTTTTTTTTCAAGTTCTTAGAAATTCTTAAGTCTTGTGTTTTCATTGTCTTTGGAAAAATGATACTACAGTTTATAATTAACAGCTGTTGTTATAATCACATATTTTTATGGTTTAATTTGACAGGGGTGGAGACAAATTAATTATCCTTTGGGATCCTGTAAGTACAACTAAAACACGCTTTAATACTGTTGAACCTTCTGTCATGCATACCACTACGATGCAGATGTCAGTTTATTCAAGACACTTCAGTTGGTCCTGAAGATACCTATATATTTTTGTTTGACTTTATAATGTGCAGTGGTGTCTGTATTTTAAAAAGAGTTTCAACTACATTTACATGAAGCACTAGGTGAATACGAAGTCTGCATTGCGACAACTATATAATGATTCCTGCATAAGCCGTGAAACGGTGTCTCTGTTCTCTAATTTTTGGGTTATACTTTCCGTCATCTTAATTTGACTACTACCACTACCACTACCACTAACTACTGACCACTAACCGCTACCCACTAACCACTAACCACTTTTAATTTTTTCCATTGATTTTCTGTGTGGTAGTGCATGAAAATCAGTTCAAAACAATGGAAATTGAACAAAGCTGGATAGACTTATGTTGCTAAAGAGGGTAATCTTACATCTATAAAAATAACTTCTGACGTATTCTTAAAATTTCTTGTGTTTTGTAGTTGGCTGAGGTATCATTACTTACTCTGGAGGGACATACAAGGTATTGGGTTAACATTAGTTACCCTGCGGTTGCCTTGAGTGACATGGAAGCCTTACCACTGTGCTGATCTTTTATGTTGGGCTCCCTAAGATTTCTTTAGATTACAACCTTGACAGACTCTACCACTGATAATATTTTATGATTGGCCAAGAATGTGGAATTTATTTGTATTTATAAGTGTGTTTTTATCAAAATTCGGGCAAATGCAGTTTGAGCTTTTTGAACAACACACCTCCCAGTGTAAATTCCAAATTGAATAATAAAAGTTGCCTGAAAAGTTTCAAATGATATACTTGAAAAGATTTACCTGCCTGGCTTTGTTTGGACACTTTCTATAACTTACTAGATGTACATTTGTAGTTGTTTTGCTATACCATCAAAATTTGCTTCAAGGAGCTGAATTGCCCGTCCCTTGTTACAGAACAGGTATGACCTTTCTCTTTCAAATGCCTGTCCAAAGCTGTCATCATAGCTTTGAAACTGGCGAACTCAAATCATCTTCTTTTTTTTTTGTTTGAATCTTGGTGTAGATGCGCTCGAGCAGTTTGCTGAGGTTGACAGACTATAACTCTCAGTTTGCAAAGACATTCCTTCCTATTTTCTTCAATTCTTTCAAACTTCAACTCAAAAAAAAGTCTGCTTTACAGTTTTTTTTTTCAATTTTCCAATGGTATTTTCTACCATGACAGAGACAATGAGTAAGTGTCAATTTTTCAGATATGTTACATGCTGTAGTTTCTCTGTGGATGGTAACTGGCTAGCCACTGGATCAAATGACAGAACACTCAAGCTATGGAAGATCTGTCTTACAGAAAATGGTATTTCATTTTTTAAATGTGTCTTTTAAAGAACTGTATAAAAACAATCCAAGGGGTGCGCAAGAGTGGAAGGGGTCCTAAAGTGAATTCTCCCTCTGCTTCATGAGCATTTACAAGGAAAACTGAAAGGGGAATAAAACAGGTTTAATCATAAGTGACTGATTCCAAGCACTCCTTCAGTTTCCTCTAAAGTTCGTTTGTATTGGTGGTGTGATAAAGAAGTACAAAATATACATTCCCTGTTTTGGGTATTTGTCTCTTTTGAAAACTCGTTAGCTATCCTTCACGTTTTCTGAAAAGAGCACAATCCCGTATCCAAAGATCCAAAGGCCGAATGTAAACAGGATATAACTCTTTTTTTAAAATCCATACTATAACAGGTGAACTGGACCAGTCTGGTGGAGTCAATGTAGGAGAGATGGAACAGAAGAAACCAACAGAAACACAGGCAAACCAGGTAGGGGTAGTGGTAATTATGCTTAAACTAGTAACGGAAACCTGTATTGAACGATTAGGTAACCATTCGGACAGAAGTATTTCTGACTCTAACCACAGCAGTAAATTCCACACTCGTAACGTGAGCGTGGGACGCCTGTGATCTAACGACATTTTACGTCTGTTACTTGTTTTCTGTCAGTCACAGGAAAATAAGAGAAAGAAACTTGTCACATGGAGCACAGATGAAGTGTGCAGCTGGCTTATTTCTTTGGAACTTGAACTGTACTGTGAAACGTTCCGTCAAAATGCCATTGATGGACAAGAGCTGTTTAATATGACAAGTGAAACACTTGCTTCAGATCTTGGTATTGGTGAGTATGAATGCTGTGTTGGAGATCATGCGCATGCCTTTTTGCAATCCTTAACCTTGTTAATTTTACTCAATTGTCTTACAGTCAGTTAAAGTAATTCAGTTGCCAGGCCATGTCAGGGAATAGACCTTTTTATCTTGTATGTTTTGTTTCCCAATTCAGACCACTTGATGTGTGCCAGGGAATTTGCCTTTTGTCTTTTCATTAATTATGCATACAGATGCACAGGTTTGGATACACGTGCATAGGACGACATTTGAAAGAAACAGTTCTCTGAGGTACCATCACGTGGTCTGAAATGGGAAACAAAACATTCAAGCTAAAAAGGTCTTTTCATCCTGCATTTCCAAGAATCCCATGATAAGGAAATATTTAATCTACATATATATATATGCCTCTTCATCCCCCACTGCGCACTACGTTTGAACATTGAACCGACAGTTTCTCTGTGTGAATTTGCAATCTTTTGCAAAACATAAAATGTGTCATAGTCCGATGATAATAATCCAGGGTGGCTGAAGGTGCATTTTCTTGCCCTTGTATTTGATCAGTGGGGTTTTATTGAACTGCTGAGATGAACTTAAAGCAAAACCGTCGATAATAAAATGCTACGTTAGAGACTAGAAAACATGTGAATTGTCCGATTGTCAGCATCATCATTCTGATAAATTACAGTCCGCATTACGAAACTTTTCATTTCTCCATTTACAAACAAATCCTTCGTTCGCTTTTACAATTTTGTATTCACTTGTTCGCTCTGCTCACTTGTTCATAACGGCTGATTTTCAGGTCCAGTAGGCCACCGTAACAAGATATTACGGACAATAAAAGATATCAAGAAACAAGAATTGGAAGAAGACTTTCCTGATGAATTCTTATGTCCTATAACAAGAGAAGTTATGTCTGATCCAGTTATTGCTGCAGGTAAGCATAATTCACTCTTGTTATTGCATAACTAACAAATAATTCACTTCCTTTACATGGACGATAATTTAAGAAATGATCTCTGCTTCAGTAGTTTAGATTATAAAGCACCACGCTAACGGCGAACACGTCATGTTGGCTAGCCGTTTCAATGTCGTTTGCCGTTCCTTCCTCAGTGGTTTGTTAAGCCTCCCGTCGACACGGCAGAACTGGAAACTTGGAAAATAGAACTGTAAATTGTCTAAAATGCTTGAAAATTTACTTAGGTATTGGCTAAATGTTTCCATAATTCTTAATGTTTCTTTTAAACTAAGTAAAATAAGCTTACCTATGTTACATCATCGCAAGTGTTCTCAGCGGCCATTCACTTTGAGTGGACAAAAAAGTACCGAGAAGTTGTCATCTTTTTTCGCTCAAATTTGAAACTCATTTAGCTTTACAAACAGTACGTGTAGATTAAGAAGAAACATGATAAACCAAGCAATCAAAATGAAGAAGTAGTCTGTACTATACCAGTGGGCTGCAAATACGCACGTTTTCGCGTTTCCTCCAAACGGGAAAAATGTCCTCCTCGCGTTGAAACGGCGGCCGGTAAAAGCAGAAAAGTCAGGTCACGTGATCCTCTCTTCCGTTTGCGGGAAAAAATAGTAAGGAGAAGTCGTTACGTCACGTTGCCATGATAGCAAAATTTTGGGATGACAGCAAAATAATAAAGTCACTTAAAAAACTATTCGCAGTATTTCGAACTACCGATCTTATTCAATTTCATTTAATTTGGCAACTCTTGCCGAAGGTTTAGAAAAAGAAAGCGACAATTTTTGTGTTGTGTTGACCTACTCCATAAAGCGGGCTCGTGAAATTAGGAAGTTTCATGTCGTAGTGGTGCAACGACGGTAAAGAAATGTACAAAATAGCATGATGCACGTGCAAAGTTGTTGTTTATTAATATAAACATATCATTTTTTGCCGTTCTCCTTGCCGTCGCCGTCGTCGTTGGTTTTGTTGTCATCCAGAAATAGTGCTACCATGGTAACGTGACGTCACACTTCTCCTGTCCATGGGTGGTGCTTTAATTTCTCGACTGTGTGTGTCCAATATTATGAGTATTCCAACTCAAACCTTGGCACTTTATTGAAAAGGAGACATACGTACCCTTTTGTTCTTTCAGTACAATGTTTGATATCTGAGATCACTAGAGTAGTAGACAAGTTAACGAAAGTGGTAACTGATTTTACTGGTTACTACTCTAAAAGAGAGAGAACACCTTTAAGAACTTTTCATTTCTTTAAAATCGTCACTACTATCATTAGGATCCGTCTTTATACATAATACCCCGTTAAAATGACTTCAATTTGATCCTGAAAATTCAAATCTTTAAAAGCTTGGAATACTAATGACAAGTTACAGTAGGAAAATAAATTTGCTTTAAGGTGATTCCGTAGTAAAGGAACCTAACATAGATTTTAGCTAAAACTTGGTACACTGATGTAACAAGTCAAGAAGATGATAAAAAAGTAATAATAAGTGGGGGTCACCGTGCTCGTTTTGACGTCACAATGCTGACAAATACGGCTATTTAGGACCCTTTTACAAAAAACCGCGGGCAGCGCAAAACTAGACAAAAAGGAGAGATTTTTTCGATGATGCATGTGACATCACACAGAATTTGGCTTTAATGTATTGTTTATCCACTTACGTACCAGAAAAATGTCTTTTAATGCCCTTGTTTTTACTTTACGCTCCAAAGTAGAATTAAATTGGACGCGCGCTTTTCGACCCGTGATGGCTCAATCCGTACAATTTAGTAAAATTGCCAAAAAACTGAACATAGATTTGTGCCAATTTTTTNTTAATAGATATTGCACAGTCACGATGACATAAACGATTTCTTAGAGACTAGGTTCTGACTGGTTGTAAATAAAGCCGATTTCTCTATTTGGCGAAGTGGTACAGGGACCAATTTAATAACACTTTTACAAGTGTGGCTATTGTTTTCATACGCTAAAACAATAGCTACACTTGTAAATTACACTTGTAAAAGTTATTTAGTTTTATTAACTTGGCCCCAGGCATTCCTCTAAGAATAAGTGCTAAATAATTGAGGGAAAGGCCTGTCCACGCACTTTTTATCTGGTGTTTAATTAAGCGGACTCTTGAGACTCTACATAATGCAGGAGAAAGTTGGTTTCACTTTCGCATTTTGTTCCAGTGTCACTGCGCCTCTTTTGAAGCCGTGCCAGGAAACTGCTATCTCTCTTCCTGACTAAGAAACTCTCTAAAACTATATGACAAGCGCAAAAGATGAAGATTGAAAAATCTATTTCTGTATTTACTTATTAATATATATTTTTTAATAGATGGTTATACTTACGAGCGTGCCAGTATACAAGAATGGCTGACGTCAGGTCGGTTGACCAGTCCCATGACCAATGCACCTCTGAAGAGCAATGTACTGACGCCAAATAGGATGCTTAAGCTGCTCATTCAAAGACATTTTGATGGCTTTCTAACTATTGACGTTTAGGATAGACTTTTTCGTAAACCAAATCGGTGTAGCATATATGCGTTATTGATCAAGCTTGTTCGGTCAAAATTGCTGGATATTGACCAAGATTCTTTTTGCGTTTTTATGGATCAAGACGAAGCGGCTTATTGAGCAGTTTAGCGTCGTGGTTAAATGCGGTAGCAAATTTGATTGCCTTGTCAAAGAAATGCTTTAAATTAAGAACTTCATGTCTTCACTAAATGTGCAATCCGATTCCCTGCGATCCAAAGTGTTTACTTAACCAGTATGTAAAAATATTTCGTCTCATCTCTTGCCTTTCTTCGATTGAAATATTATTCACATCTCAATTGTTAATGGAGTCAAGAGGACCCCGAAACGTCGTGTTATAAATCTTTCATTTTTCTTCCAAGACGAAGGCAAGGTCAATAAAAACGTAAGATAGAAAGTGGCCAATATCCAGCCATCTTGAGCGAACAAGTCTGTTGGTCATTAAAAGATTTATTATATGGCGAAAAAGATAATTTTTCCTTGCGGGACTGACGAGGGAAATCCCGAACAGGCAAGATGTGCTCGGGTAGCCAATCAAAACAGAGGATTTTCCTCATCTTGCCAGCCATCGGATTCAGCCACACCGATGAATATCAAACCTCGATATTCAAGAACACTCTCGAATTTCACTTTTTTTGAAATGCGTTGAAATAATCAGTACATACTGTATTTAATGTTCTCTTGCAACAGAACAAAAAACGTGTTCTCTTGTCAGTAACTAATGATAGGTTATCTATAGACTTAAATGTTAGAACTTTGTACTTAATACGTAGAATGATCATTTAAAAACTCCTGAAGAGGTTTTGTTCTAGAGTCAAAGCGGTTAGAAGCACGATATTTCATTGCTACGGCTGATTCAGTTGGAAGGTATAGTGTTTTCTAATTTGCAACGACGAGTTTTTAACAACAGTGTTGGAACAATGCCGCAACATTGTTGTAACACTCTGTTGCCTAACGTGCGACCGTATTTCCTTGACTCTGCCCGTATTAGTAATGTCTCTCGCTGTATTGTTGCTATAGATAATTCTATAACTTTTAGCCTACGAGGATGCTGTCTCATTGAAGTACGAGCGATAAAGCAACGAGATGAGCCTAAAGGAATTTGTGAAAAAATATCAACTCTATCGCATTTTGGAAAAGAATATACAGGATTAATGTAATCACGACTTTTATTAAGTCTCGCAAAGTTGTTTTGTAAATACTTAACACTAGCCATATATTATCAGTTTTTGTAAATAAGAGTGTTCTCTTACGTTCAAGCGTCATTTCTACGTGTTCATTCAGGTCATGTGGAAGTTGTCGGTTCACTTCGTAGCAAAGCAAAATAACTATACACATTTTTGGTGTGAACTGTAGTTTATTTATTTAGTAACAATTCATTAGAAAACAATTATTCAGTTACAGAAGTCCGTTCATTATTACTCTAAAAATGAAAAAAATGAATTATAATTTGTTTACCCCACGAAGTACTTAGGATTTCTTATGAACTCGTTTACACATGCCGTGAGTTCCAGATCGAGAATTGGAATTTGGAAGGGTTGGTTTTGGATGAGATGTTAAAAACGAAGAACCCGGAGAAATACCTCTCGGAGCAAGGAAGAGAACCAACAACAATTTAAACTCAACCCACATATGGCTTCGACGGACGCCGGGGTTTCAACCCGGGTTACATTTATTGGTGGGTTCAGAGTGCTCTCGCCACGGCGTCATCTTTGCTTCTACTCTGTTAGTAAAAATACAGTGGCAGATCCAGGAGAGGGGCTGCCCCTCTCCCCCCGCCCCCTATTTTTAGCCCAAACTGAGGCCCGAAGGGCCGAAAAAATTTTTTTTGGAGACCAGACCCCCTTATCTGAAGGTCTGGATCCGCCACTGAAACAAACTAGCTATATTCTTTGAAGTGAGAACTGAGCATTTTAGCCACAGGCAGACTACCCGGATCCACTGATTATTTCGTAAAGTAAAGTTTTAAACAGGTCGGTACATCGTAAAAACCTGACACATAACAAAGTTAACATTTCGTTTGAACCTTTTGAAACATTTACGTTCAAATCTGTATTTCTGCGAAAATAGAAGCCGCCGTAATGTTCATCTGTATTTCCTCCATGAAGTGCAAAAGTTCAATAACAGCAACGGCTACACTAGCAGAGGGTGGTTTGCCTGTGGTGCGGCTCAGTCACATCCGTAGAGTGAACCATAGTAGAGTGCTTTGAATTGTTACTGAGCCCAGCATACGTCAGATAATTTGCTACGCGTTTATTGCAATTACTTCCTAACATAAGAATTTACATAGTATTTTGAATATGATCAATCTTAGGCGTGCTTAATCTAAAACGCACTTAGAAATCACAAACTTTAGAGGTTAAACCGTAAAAGATAATAAATGACTTAAACTAAACAGTGGGAACTGCCTGCTTTGAACATTTTTTTTTAACTTGAAAAGAGAAGGGTCCACAAGGTCGAACAGATCATAGTGCATTTTATGACTGTAAATTGATCGACCAGATCACTAAATAAGGATAGCATGTACATTTTATTCGTTAGTTTTCCTTACTTCGGAAGATTTAATGCCATACACGTTCCCCATGGTAAACAGCTATGTTCCATTTGCTTTCTCCATGCAAAGCGTATAAAAGGGTAAGTGGTTAGATCTCGGGCGGAACCTCCCCATATACAACTTTGTTGACTACCCCACTCAGGTGTAAAAAAGTCCAATGATATTTTTCAAGAGAGGATAAAGCTTTATCCTGTCTTGTAGTTTTTTATTATAAATGCTTAATTAATTTTTTTAAACAAAGCATTGTGAATGTCGTGTCGCATCATTGTTCAACAAGTTGCCCAACTGGTGGTGTCTGTGTTGTAGTTCATTAAACTATTATTTCCTTTGCATTTTTTAATCACAATTATATAGATGCATATCAACTTATAAAAGAAGAAACAAAAATAGACGAATCTGGCCAATCCTTAGACTATCTCTCTGTGGTGGAAAAGACAGTTTAGATAGAACTTTCACGAGTCATGTTATTCATTCTAAACTGTTAGACATGCATAATGGGAAATGATAACACCGCAGTTTAAAAAATATATTTTTCGCGTCCATCCAACTTTCAAATAAACGCGACCCTCAAATAAGCGCCGTATTTGAGGTGTGACAAATTTAATAAGCGCCTGGGCGCTTTTTCGAGTTAATATGTTGAATTCATGGCCTGAATGAGAGTTCTCTTTCTACGCAAATTATGTAATGCATTCGGACCTCTCCTGACGGGCATCTCTATCACAAAGTTATTATGTATTGCTCCCTGGTTCCTAGTATCCTTAACACTCGTTCCCAGGCACTTCTTAAGATTTTTTCAAACTGGAAGTGGCGACGTAACAGCAGCGGGAGTGAACATGACGAAATAAAAGCTTGCGAGGCGCGTTTTTCGCCCTTCCCACGACCCAGTGCACCGCGACTACTTCCGAAATGTTCAGGAAGGGACTGAGTGTGACCTGAGTGTGCAGGCCGCTACGATCCGCGTGCATCCCGCGCGCTTCACGCGAGACGGATCTATGCACCTCAGCTTCGCGAGGAATCAGTTTTATCAGCTTATATAGACAGCACCCATTACCGTCAGATTCACCCGGTTCTTGTCAAACGTTTGATGTTTCTTAACATCTCAATTCCATGACGTTGTGTTGCGTCGGTGTTTTCTGACAGAATAATATTTTTCTGAAGCCTTTTTGGAAGTTCCTACTTCGAAAAGCGCATAAAAAAACTTAAACTGCAGATAAACACGAAGGAGAACACACTCAATAGTTGGTAATGTAAGTTAGACTTGAACCGTTCACCATTGTGGAATGTCATAACACAGTAAAATACAACAGGCGTTCCATAACCAACAACAAACCCTACAGTAGCCATGATGATTGTAACAACAAGTTTCTTTTTGTCATCTCTGTCTTGATCTGAATCGGTGGCACAGATTGTATTGGAGAAGTATAATCCTTTGATCAAAGACCCGTAACCGAACAAAAACACTCCGAGAGGAACATAGGTAGAGACAACGGAGTAAAAATACAAATAAACTCTGCTTGCTTGATTCGCATTCAGACTCCATGGACCGCTACACGCAGACTCTTTTTGACTCCATTCCTGTAAGAAAAAATTCTGGTAAAGTAAACACGATGCTTAAGACCCAGACAAAAGCGATGGCGCGCTTAATATTGCCATTATTCAACAATAAATCTCTTCTGAAGGGTTTCAGTATCGCGTGATACCTTTCTATTGCCAACACTGTCAGAGTTAAAGCCGAGACCATTGCCGAAATTTTGAGTGAGAACCAAGAACTTACATGCAAATATCGCGGCAAATCCATCATTTAGATATCCGTACAAATAGGAAGACACGTATAGTGGATAGATAAAGATGGTAATAACATCGCTAACAGCAAGGTTTGCTAAAANATAACACAGTAAAATACAACAGGCGTTCCATAACCAACAACAAACCCTACAGTAGCCATGATGATTGTAACAACAAGTTTCTTTTTGTCATCTCTGTCTTGATCTGAATCGGTGGCACAGATTGTATTGGAGAAGTATAATCCTTTGATCAAAGACCCGTAACCGAACAAAAACACTCCGAGAGGAACATAGGTAGAGACAACGGAGTAAAAATACAAATAAACTCTGCTTGCTTGATTCGCATTCAGACTCCATGGACCGCTACACGCAGACTCTTTTTGACTCCATTCCTGTAAGAAAAAATTCTGGTAAAGTAAACACGATGCTTAAGACCCAGACAAAAGCGATGGCGCGCTTAATATTGCCATTATTCAACAATAAATCTCTTCTGAAGGGTTTCAGTATCGCGTGATACCTTTCTATTGCCAACACTGTCAGAGTTAAAGCCGAGACCATTGCCGAAATTTTGAGTGAGAACCAAGAACTTACATGCAAATATCGCGGCAAATCCATCATTTAGATATCCGTACAAATAGGAAGACACGTATAGTGGATAGATAAAGATGGTAATAACATCGCTAACAGCAAGGTTTGCTAAAAGATAATTAGTTGTCGTGTGCATTTCTCGTGTTTTATGTACAATGCGGATGACCAACACATTACCGACGAATCCAGTGATGTAAAATGGAATGGCAGTCAACAAAAGAGTAAAGTTTAAGCTGGAGAGAACATCCATGGCTCTGAGATCAATTTTCTTACCCGTTATGTACTATGTTCACAAGACTTTGATTCAAAGAAAAAGAATCACCTGTTTTGACTATCTGTTATTAGCTCAAATATCTCCAGCATCGTTGCTTTATTAATGTAGCAGACAACCAACCTAAAGAGGGCAATTGAAGTGGTCTTGACAATAATGAAATCATCGAAATATTAGGCGTCACACAAATAACCACCTTGAAGTTGCACCGGATAGTCAATACATGCATCTGACATGCGGCGCTCTCAGTGACTCTCAATAAATCCTTGTGTCTATCGATTTTGCTGCATCAATACAAATTTAAAGGTTCTTAAATTTTTTTTGTTTCATAATGGAATAGTTAACAGGTTCTATTATTTTTCACTGGCATTGGGTTTTTAGCTCTCTCATTACCATTTTGAACGGAAACCGTACTGAGTGATTTCTTTACCTAGTTGTAGCAAGTCAGTAGCGAATTATTAGCTTGGCTCCGAGACTGACGGCTGATAAAACAAAAGAAATGACATTTTGATTGATTTCTTTTGCCCTTTTTTTTCTCTTTATCCTTTCAGGGGAGTATGGATTTTGATAGTTCAAAACTAGTCTAGTGTAGTCAGCGTAAATGAGTAAATAAAATAAAATGAAAATGAAAAATAAGAGCACCGTCAGCCACGGGTTTGATAGTCAGACATACGTAATCGCCTACGGAGGCTTCCTCCTCCCGGAGGATGGGGGTTGAGTTGGAAAACTGCGTGTTCTACAACTGATACAGTGGGGTAATATAACCAGAGAATATGCAGAATATGAGTACGAAATGATTTGCATTTAAACTCCACAGACTGGTAAATGCGGAACTTTACGGCCTTATTCCTGTGACAGTACTGAATCATAGCAGGCGTTCCATAGGGAAGGCGATTTGACCCCTCCCCCCCAGGGGGAGATTTGAGCTCGTGCCCGAAATTCTTTTTCTCTTTCTCAGACTATTCCTTACGTTGCTGAGACCTTCGGTAAAGTATTAGTGCAAACCAGGAACTTACATACTACTTATTAACCGAGATTGAGGTCATTACAGGGAAATATCAGACCTCGGACTTCAATTTAGTGATGCATTGACCTTGCTATCTCTCTGTCAACACATCAAAGCCTCGACCTGACATTTCCCCGTGGTGACCGAACGGACGAGGTTAAGTCTTTTTTATGGCCTTTTCATCATAGACCTGAACCTGCGATCAATTAAAAGCAACATCTGGTCAGCGGATAACTTTAGAAAACACGTCACCTAAATTAATTGTACTCTTCAGGTGACACTGGTCAGCGGATACCCTTTTGACAGTTGATCATGACATGGATGGCCACAAGGATGTCCACTATCAAGTTAAACACAGATTGTACATGCCTTGGACACCTAACTAAAAACACCCGGTCAGTACAAGAAGGTGATGTCCGGTCATTACAAGAAAATAGCCAATCAGAGCACGCGTACAAATATGGTCATACGAGAAATACAATCTTGCGGCAAATCCGCCATCATTTAGAAATCCTTAGAAATGAGAAACACGTACAGTGGATAAATAAGGATGATAATAATATCCTTAATAGTATCATGAAGGTTCCCTGATAAAACTAGCTGTCGTACGCATTATTTCTCGCGGTTTATGCATAATGAGCATAACCAAATCTTGACGCATTTAGTAAAATGGATAAGCAGTTAGGCAAAGAGTAAAAATTCGAGCTTTCAACAACACCCATAATACTGAAATACAGTAAAAACCCGCCAGTAAGAACCTGTTAGTCTGACGTGTTCCAGATTGGCCCCCCTTTATACAAGAACCTCTTTAGCCTCAAATTTTAAACAGGTTCTTATTCTGTGAAATCTAAATCTCAAGTTGTTATCAGCATCAAGTAGATTAATGTCATCAGCAGATAAATAATAACTTAATTGGTCAGAAGAGTTATAGATATCAATTTTGTACAACAACAAAATAATGGTCCTAAGACCGACCCTTGCGGAACACAACACAGACAGCATTAAGATTCCCCAGGTAACATGTGGGCAATCAGGATCAAAGTCCCTAATCTTATTCTTGAAAAAATCTCTGCAACGTTTTTTGAAGCAATAGAGGCTTAAGTTTTCAGTTATAACAGAAACTTATAAGGGGTTGAAACGTGTAACTCGCGTTCAATGCTCGTGAATATTCACTTTTACCATATTTGGAAACCTTAGTGACAGATATCCATTTTTCAACAAATGGCTGCCGCGCGATGACCATGCAGATGTTTAAGACAAGAGTTCTGCATTTCAAGGTTAAAAATACACCGTTACAAGACAAAAAATGGAAAGAGAAAGTTCAGAAGAATGCTCAGGTTTCTTTTTGTGGAGGAAGGGAAGCTTTTCATCAAGAAATCGTCCTTCGAGGAATTCAACCTTGTTTTCTTCTCGACGGAGCGCATGGTCTGTTTTGAAATGTAACCAAGGCAGTGANAAACTTATAAGGGGTTGAAACGTGTAACTCGCGTTCAATGCTCGTGAATATTCACTTTTACCATATTTGGAAACCTTAGTGACAGATATCCATTTTTCAACAAATGGCTGCCGCGCGATGACCATGCAGATGTTTAAGACAAGAGTTCTGCATTTCAAGGTTAAAAATACACCGTTACAAGACAAAAAATGGAAAGAGAAAGTTCAGAAGAATGCTCAGGTTTCTTTTTGTGGAGGAAGGGAAGCTTTTCATCAAGAAATCGTCCTTCGAGGAATTCAACCTTGTTTTCTTCTCGACGGAGCGCATGGTCTGTTTTGAAATGTAACCAAGGCAGTGAAGTTTTTGCTGAATTTTCAGGTACATTTTGCACTCTATGGCCAAGACAATTACGTTTTTAAAAGGGAATTTATCTATTTTTAAATGTTTCATAGACGTTTTATAAATTTTTCTCTTCGGCGCTTAAGAAAAATTACAAAGTGTGCCCCAATTTGAGAGGGATTTTGTGTTGAACTTTGCCATGTGCTCAGCCGATTTCACTTGCGTGAACGGATCCACGATCCAGATAGTGTTTTCCGAATTGCTTTAAAGGATTAAGTTCTTGGATTTTGAATAAAACTTTTCAAGAAACGGATTCTCTGTCTATTGTTTTGAGTGTGTTCATTCATAAAATTAGCTCAAAACACGATCGTGACTACAACATCCAAGCTGAATTTAAGCTTAATTGCTTCTCACATTCATTACACGCATCACTTTTTGTGAAGATGTCAGGTTCAGGTTTTGGACACTTTTCGATACGCAGCTAATGAATTTTATTCGAAAATATTTTTTACTGTTTATTCTAGAATTTTAATATAAGAATTTTAAAAGCCTATTTGCAGTATAAGTTTACTGTGCAGAGAGTCAACGAGGCATCGTTTTTTGAAGTGACAACTTCATGGAGTTGCGAGGACGTCAATGGGTTTCATAATGTTATGTTTGGCCCGGGTGGCAATAATATCTTGCTCAGTGTTTCGGTAAGATTCCTGCTTTCAACCTTTGAAAGCTTTCTCGGCTTTCGGGAGTTTTTCCCCCACTTGTCGGCCATTTTTTTCAAGCGGGCGCGGGAACATGAAGTAAAATACGTCACGTTGTTTACGAAGTTTGATTGGTCAGTTGTCTCTTCTTCTCTTTCCAAATATGGTACTTTCGAAAATGCATAATCACGAGCATCGGACAAAGCAAAACATATGAGAGTTACACGTTTCAACCCCTTATGAGTTTCTGGTTATAAGTATCTCAGGTAAGATGTTCCGCAAATAAAGAATTCTATTGAAAAATTTTTCCCTTAAACAGTTTGGTTTTTAACCAAATTTAATCTAATTTTATTTACTCGAAAAGGACCTTAATTCTAGGATCTTTAGCTCTATTAACATGACCCTAAATGTGTTCATTAAAATGGGCATCAGAAGTAATAAGAACATCAAGGTCACACTGAGCGTCAACTCTCATCAAGGTTTTAGTTCATATGGTATAATAATAAGTAGTGGGTTCGCGGTTTCTTGTCACTGAGCGTAACGAGCATTTGTCTGTGACCAACTTAGTCCACTCATCACACCGTTCAACTAGATTATAAAATCATTTTGCAGCGATTCACAGTCACTGATGGATAAATAAGTGTTTTTATTGCCTCATAAGTTAAAGGGGCTATGTCAGCTGGAGAGCATACGCTCTGAGGTTATGCAAATTACTTTCAACTGTCAAAATTTTATTGTTTTTATCGCGTGACTTTCTCCATGTGCCGTCTGAGGTTATGCAAATTACTTTCAACTGTCAAAATTCTATTGTTTTTAACGCGTGACTTTCTTTATACATACACCAAAAGCTTTATTTGCATGACCATAAAGGAATTACAGTATTGCAAAAGCTATTAGTCTAAATTTAAGTACTAATTCAACTAATTAGTACGTGCAAAACATTACAAAACGTTACAGTTCTCATTCATTCATTCATTGATATTAATTTGGTTCTTAATTCAAAGCATTGCGAGATAAATGAAACTAATTGACAGTTAATTAAATAATCAGAAGAATTCATAAGAAGAGATATTAAAGTATCGTGTGAAAGTGATTTGAAGTCAGGTATTTTAGTTTCTAGTTTGGAGAAAAATATGTCTCTGATCTGAGAATAAGCCTTACAATCTAGTAAGAAATGATTTTCATCTTCGATTTTGTTACTTGTACAAAAGTGACATATCCTTTCATTGCGAGGAATGTTTTCGTATCTACCTGTTTCAATTCTAAGTTGA